TAATTATTAACCCATTTCTATTAATCTATGTATCTCCATGTGTCTTGGCTTACTGAAAAATGTCCGGGCAGTCAACCTTCCCATTAGCTATATGGCATCTCTCTGGAGATTCACTCTCTGGCTCCTTTCCCAGAATTCTCCTAGTCTGGTAGCCCTGCCTATACTTCCTGTTTGTCCATTGGCTGAAACAGCTTTATTCATCAACCAATAAGAGAAACATATATTCACAGCATTCAGAAGGACATCTCCCATCATCTATGTTTGTGTGCATGAGTATGTATTTGTGTGTATGTATATATGTAGCTATGTGTATACGTGTCTGTCTGTATATGTGTGTATATTTGTTTATATACTGCATCTCTGTGTGTGTGTGCCTGTATGTTTGTGTAGCTGTGTGTGTGTGTGTGTGTGTGTGTGTGTGTGTGTGTGCTCATTCATGCATATGTGTCTTTTTTTTTTTTACTTGGAGGTTCCTTTATGTGGTACCCAACAATATTTCATATTTTAAATTAGTGATTGACTTATCTATTCATGCATTGATGGATACTTAAACTTTTTTCTGTGTTTCAGCTATTATGAATGATGCAGTATTTGTGTACAAGTTTCTTTTTTCAGGCTGTTTTTTTTTCTCATAGACTTTCCTTAGGTTGTATGGCAATTTTATTTAGCATTTTGAAGAATAGTCAATTGTTGGTGCTCTCCCAAAGTGGCTATGACAGGGAAAAAACCTACAGAAACCTACTATTTTTATTTGCTTTTACTTGTCTTATGAATCACAAACTTTGGCGGTCACATAGATGGGTCACACTATCAGTTTCTTACTAGCTTTTCAGCCGTGGCTCCTCTGCTGGTGGGTGATAGTGGCAATGGCTGCCACAGTTGTTTTTCGTGGACTTGGAGGCCACATTGAGAACATTATATTGCTTAGCCTGAAGATGTCCCTGGTCAGGGTTATCACTCTATTTTATCTTTCTGCCTGCAAGTTTTGAGGGTTCATTTTTTTCTCATCATTACTTAAAATTCCCTCCATCCTTCCCATCTCTCCTTCCCCTTTGTCTCCCTTCCCCTCCCTCCCCCTCTTCCTTCTTCCTCTCTGCTTCCTTCTCTCCCACTCTTTTCCTTCCATCCTTGTACTGGGGATGGAACTCATTGCAAGCGTGTATGTGTATGTATGTCTGTACTTCCCTGCCATGTGGCACTGGAACAAGCTCATGTGATGCTACAATCCAGATACAGAGAACATGAGAATTCCCTCATGCCTTTCCTGAAGTCATTCCCTGTCTACATGTTGTCCACACCAATCACTGATCAGTCCTCTGTCTCTCTAGTTTTGTCATTTTGAGAATGTCAGTGTAATAAAGAATGGAACCTTATGGTATTTGTTTGTGGTCTTCTTCTTCTTCTTCTTCTTCTTCTTCTTCTTCTTCTTCTTCTTCTTCTTCTTCTTCTTCTTCTTCTTCTTCTCTCTCTCTCTCTCTCTCTCTCTCTCTCTCTCTCTCTCTCCTCTCTCTCTTTCGCTCTCTCTCTCTCAGTTTTTGAGACAGTTTCCCCATGTAATAGCCCTGGCTGTCCTGGAATTCACTTTGTAGACCAGACTGACCTCAATCACAAGGCAAGAGATCCACTTGCCTCTGCCTCTGAAGTACTGGAATTAAAGGCATGTGCTACACTGCTAGGCTTTTATTTTAGCTTTTAAAAATTCTTTTGAAGTTTATTTACAGTTATTGAATTTATATACCATGATGCATCTTTGAAGAAGGTCTTTCTTTGCTTCTTTTAAAAATATTTATTGATGTTAATATTTAATGTATATGTGTATTTTGCCTGCATGAATGCCCCTCTCCACCACCTGGTATCATTCATTCATTGTCTCAAAGCAACTATCTCTACCCATAGTCCTGTCTGTTTCCTGCTCATGCTCACTGATGCTTATTCTCTGCACCTTGCATGGGGTGTATGTATAACACATGTTGAATAAATGAAAAAAATGGCTAATGACTATATAAAATTTTGTGCTTTACAGATGATGAAGGTAATGAGGATAATTTTTAAATCTTTTTTATGTTTTATACACTTTTTATTAATTTATTTTTTTTACATTCCTATCCCAGTTTCCCCTGCCTCCTCTCCTCCTGTTCCCCTCACCCCCTCTCTTCCCATCTGCTCTACAGAGAAGGTAAGGCCTCCCCTAGGAAGTCTACTAAGTCTGTCCCATCATCTCTTTGAGGCAGGACCAAGGCACCTCTCCACCCCCCACACCCCTGTGTCTAGGTTGGGCAAGGTATCTCTCCATATAGAATGGGCTCCACTAAGTCAGTTTGTGCATTAGTGTTAGATCTTGGACCCACTGCCAGTGGTCTCATATATTGTCCCAGTCACACCATTGTCACCTATGTTAAGGAAGTCTAGTTCAGTCTTATGCAGATTCCCCATTTGTCAGACCTGAGCCAGTGATCTCTTACTATCTTGGGTCACCTGATTCTGTGGGTTTCCCTATCATGGTCTTGACTCTTTTGTTCATATTATCGCTCTTCACATCAGTTGTACTCCAGGAGCTTGGCCCATTGGTTCGTTGTGGATTTCTGCATCTGCTTCCATCTGTTTCTGGAAAAGGGTTCTAGCTTCTCTGGGGTTGTGGATTGTAGGCTGGGTATCTTTTGCTTTATTTCTAGTATCCACTTATGAATGAGTACATACTATATTTGTCTTCCTGGTTTTGGGTTATCTCACTTAAGATTTTTTTTCTAGTTCTGTTCATTTGCCTGCAAATTTTAGGATGTCATTGTTTCTTACCACTGAATAGTACTCCATTGTGTAAATATACCATATTTTCTTTATCCATTCAGTTGAGGGGCATCTAGGCTGTTTCAAAGATCTGGCTATTACAAATAATGTTGCTATGAACATAGCTGAGCAAATGTCCTTGTGGTGTAAATGTGCCTCCTTCGGGTATACGCCCAACAGTGGTATTGCAGGGTCTTGAGGTAGGTTGATCCCTAATTTTCTGAGGAATCGCCATACTGATTTCCACAGAGGATGTACAAGTTTGCACTCTTATCAGTAATGGAGGAGTGTTCCCCTTTCTCACATCCTCTCCAGCATAAGCTGTCATTGGTGTTTTTGATCTTAGCCATTCTGACGGATGTAAGATGGAATCTCAGAATGGTTTTGATTTGCATTTCCCGGATGACTAAGGATATTGAGCATTTCCTTAAGTGTCTTTCTGCCATTTGAGATTGTTCCCTTGAGAATTCTCTGTTTAGACCTGCACCCCATTTTTTACATTTTTTAATTGGGTTATTTGGTAGTTTGATTTCTAGTTTCTTGGGTTCTTTGTATATTTTAGAGATCAGCCCTCTGTCAGATGTGAGGTTGGTAAAGATCTTTTCTCATTTTGTAGGGAGCTGTTTTATATTGTTGACCATGTTCTTTGCTTTACAGAAGCTTCTCAGTTTCAGAAGGTCCCATTTATTCCTGTGCTCTTGTGGACATAGGCGATTTCCTTGGGTGGGCATTTTCCTTCTAGTACTTTCCATAGGTCTGGGTTAGTGGATAGATATTGCATAACTTTGGTTTTATCATGGATTATCTTGTTTTCTCCATCCATGGTTATTGAAAGCTTTGCCAACCAAGGTAGTCTGGGCTGGCATCCATGGCCTCTTAGTGTCTGCATAACCTCTGACAAGGACCTTCTTTCTGGCTTTCATTGTTTCCATTGATAAATCAGGTGTAATTCTGATAGGTCTGCCTTTATATGTTACCTGGCCTTTCTCCTTTGCAGCTCTTAATATTCTTTCTTTATTCTGTATCTTCTCCTTCTTTTTTTATGTTTTCTTTTTTTTTTTCTCGAGACAGGGTTTCTCTGTGGCTTTGGAGGCTGTCCTGGAACTAGCTCTTGTAGACCAGGCTGGTCTCGAACTCACAGAGATCCACCTGCCTCTGCCTCCCGAGTGCTGGGATTAAAGGTGTGCACAACCAACGCCTGGCCTGTCTTCTCCTTCTTTTATCTCTATTATTCTTAGGTTTAGTCTTTTCATGTTGTCCCAGATTTCCTGCACGTTTTGTGTTAAGGATTTGCTGGATTTAAAATTTTCTTTGACTGATGAATCTATTGCCTCCAAGTTATCTTCAATGCCTGAAGTTCTCTATTCCTTCTCTTGTATTCTGTTGTTTATGCTTGCATTTGTGGTTCCTGCTCATTTATTCAGATTTTCCCTTTCCAGAATTCCCTTAGTTTGTGTTTCTTTATTACCTCTGTTTCAGAGCTCATGTCTTAAATGGCAGTGGATGCTGGCTGGGACACAGGTGCTCTTTCCCAGAGGAACTTTTTGCAATAGTTTCTGGAAGTTACTGCTGGAAAGCACTACTGTTGCTTCACCTGGTGATCACTCCTTACTCCTGGGGCTGAGGCTGGGGCCTCCCTCTGATACTGTTCCTGGTTCTGAGGCTTATGGCTCCCTTGACATTGCTCCAGGCCTGAAGCTCCAGCCTTCCTCTGATGCTGCTTCTGGGTTGGGATTCGGGTCTCTCACTGATGTTGCTCAGGGCATGAAGCTCCTGCCTCCCTCTGACATTGCAGCTCTGGGCCTGAAGTTTGGGCCTTCCTCTGATGCTGCTTCTGGGATGGAATTCAGACCTCTCATTGATGCTGGTTGGGGCCTGTAACTCGAGCCTACCTCTGACGCTGCTCCCGGATCTGAGTTTCGTGTCTCTCTTGAAGCTGCTCAGGGCCAGAAGCTCGGCCCTTTCTCTGATGCTGCTTCCGGGCTTGGATTTGGGCCTCTTACTCAATTTTTCTAATCTTACATGTTCATATTTTAGAGATAATTTCCATTCTGGATGATGGTCAGGGGTTTCTCTGGTGGGTGGTAGGCATGGTACCTTGTGTGTATTTCACTGAAGACACTTTGGTATGGAGTGTTAAAATCTTTTAAACACCAGGGAAACTGATAACTGTAAGAGTTCTTCCCACCTGTGGTATTTATTCTTTGTGTCTGAAGTTTGTCTAGGTTCCAAAGTGCAACCCATGACAGCAAAGTCAGTAGCCTGGTCTTTTTAAAAGAGCTACAGGACCTGGCTGAGGACATTTTTGAAACAATGGACAAGGCAAAGAGCTTACAAAACCTCTGGCTGAAAAGATCAGAAACCCCAGGTAAGATCCTGAAAAGGAAACCATGTTTCTCCTTGGACAGAGTGAGAATCTTTTATGCTAGCTGCTTCTGAAGGGTTTAGGAGAAGGCACGCCCCCTGCTGGATGAGGCCAGCAGTGCTTGCTCTTATGGAGGGTGGGGTTGGATCTTCCTCTCTGGGAGGAATAAAGGGTACAAAGGAGGAGTAAGTCAGCCCTCCCATAGGCTGAGGCCCACCTAGCTTAATCACCTTTTCTAACGCCACTTACCCATCCCATGTTGTCTTTCCATATTTAAGAACTGTCCACACCTTCTCTACACATATTTTCGATTCCCCCCTTTCCCTGGATATATGACTTGGTCTTTCCTTTTTTGGTTTTTGAGAGAGGGTCTCAACAAAAGGCAGGGGCCCTTCCACAACAGATGAGAGGGTTCTGTTGGGTTCTGTCATGGGGTTCGTGTTCATGCTTGTAACCTCAGCATTTGGGAACTGTGGCAGGACAATACTGAGTTCAAGGCCAGCCTAGATTATGTGGTGAAGATCTTGTCTCAATAAGCAATAACATTTATTTTTTTTTGGGGGGGCATCAAGTACAGTTTTTGTTTTAGATACAATTGAGAGAACTGATTATCTTCAGATGGGTATATCTATTTTCAGTTTATTATTGACTGAGCTATTTCCTATAGCATCTGTTATTTAAAAATCTAAAAAACAATACTTTTACTTTTCTTTCTTGTCACATCTGAAGTTTTGCTTTTTTTGTGTTCTGAGAAAGGGTCTTGTTTTGTAGCTCTGGGTGACCTGGCTTACTATGTAGAATGGGCAGGTTCTGAACTCAGCAATCCTTCTGCCTCTGCTTCCTGCATGTTGGGATTGCAGGTGTTGTTGTGGGATATTAGTTAAAGATGTGTTGCATTCATTTATGCTGCAGAATATTTGTTTAATGATGCAAAGAAGTGTTGCATTCTTTTATGTCACATTTGTTTAACTCTGTAAAGCTGTATTACTTTGCCTGTCTAGAACATCTGATGGGTCTAATAAAGAGCTGAACGGCCAGTAGCTAGGCAGGAGAGAGAAATAGTCAGGGCTTAGGAGCAGAGAGAATAAATAGATGAGAGAAGACAAAAGAGCGAGAAAGGGAGGAGAGGAGGATACCAGGGGCTAGCCACCCAGCAACACAGCCAGTCATGGAGTAAGAAGAAGAGAAAACAATATAGAATAAATAAAGGTAAAAGCATAGAGGCAAAAGGTAGATATGGTAATTTAAGTTAAGAAAAGCTGGTTAAAAGTAAGCTAAGCTAAGGCCGGGCATTCATAAGTAAGAGTAAGTTTCTGTGTTTTTGTTAGGGAGCTGGGTGGCAGAGCAAATAATAAAAACAACCAAATACAGGGTGTGCCAACATATCTAGCTTGGTTTTCTTTATTTCCATTCACTTTCATTTTGTGTCAAGTACTCACAATGCCAAGTGTAATTAGAGATTGGCAAAAATACTGGACAAAGTATTGAACATCCTTTACTATTTGTTAGTTTTTTCTCCTATTTGTTCACCTTTGTATTTTAAGCCTGGCTGTTTCATTTACAGAGTCTGGGCCTGACCGGCTGATCTGTTAAATGTGTTTTATTGTAGGTTCCTCTTATGGCTCCAGTTTTTTAACAGTGAGTATCCCCAGCAACACTGGAAACACAGAGACATGGTTCACGGTTCTCTTTGTAGCTGCATTTATATTTTCAAGGACTCTATTAGTCATTTGATTTTTTTTTGTAACAATTGTGCAGGGTGGAATTCAACAGAAGTAAATTTACATGAGATATAGATTGAAACACGGGTTTTAGTTTCTTAAGTCAGAGCTCTGGGTCTATGAGGAGGAGAGGGTGGGAGGGGAGGCAGTGAGTGGTAGGTGGTACTCAGGTTGCTTTGGGGGAGGCATTTAAGTCAACATGAACTCAAAATTGGTGAGATTTGTCTTTGGCATATTACTTTCGACTTGCTTTAAATGAAGGACTTTCAGTTAAGGTCATAGTCATCAATGGGGCGACTTGCCATCATCTGTATACATGTGAGGTTGTCACAGCTAGGGTGGGTGGATAGGCTGTCCTTTGTTTCTGGTGAATTAGGGTGGAAATGCTGCTAAGCATCTTTCAAAGACAGGCAGCCTCACAACAGAGACTCACCCAGCCACCAGCAGAGTCAAGGATGTGACGTCTAAGCAAAGAATGAACCTGTCAACAGCGAGGTTCTTGCCTGCTCATACTGCTCCACCAGACACTCAAAACCCAGGTGTTTTTGGTAGCACTGTGCTCTGACACTGTGTCTGCGCAATTCTCAGATGGCCCTAAGGCAGCTCAAGGAACGTGTACATAGTAAACCATTAGAAGAATCCAACGATAAAGGCCAACCAGTGCTGTACATTGAGCAGGGATGCCTGTGCTTCCCTTAAATGATACCCAGCTGTGATCAGACACCTACCCTAACTGCTACACCAGGGCAGAGAGATTGATTCACCAGGGCGCATGCAAGCTCAGTTTACAAGTAATTGAAGAACGTTAGCTTCATTGGATGAAGCACTATTTTAATGATCAAATTAGCATTTTAAGGGAATTATGAGTAGCCCTCCTAAATGTCAGATAGCTTGTGACAGCGAAAGGCTGATACAATCAATTTTGATAAACAACTTGATGCTCTTTGTATCCCATCTGACAATTTATCTTACTTACACTAAAAAATTTCACACTGAAGTAGGTTATTTATGAGGATGTATTATTTTAATATTCAAAACTAGGGTAAGTAAATGTTGATGCCCTACTTTATAAGTCAGCAATTAAAATGGAAAAGATTATGATAACTGTGAAAAGTAGAAACTGCTGTCATATCCGTGATCTGATTATTATGCACAGCTCTTGAGTCAGTGTGTACAGTGAACTGTAGTGTGGCCACAGCAAAGAATGACTTTTAACTCCTGATACTCCTATTGCCTAGCTCCCCAGTGCTGGGATTCTAGGCATGGTCCAACATTTTTCTATTTGATTTTCATTTAGAGTGGAATGCTCTGTGTGATAATCTGAGCAGAGGAGTTAGACATGAATTATATCTTTACAAGATTTTCTTGTCTATGTGGTGGGCAGAAGGGAGGGAAGAGGAAAAATCAGGGATGGGCTGGGGCATGTTAGTGTTCCATCAAGGTGGTGCTGTCAAGGTGGGTGTGATGACACAAACCGTGTGCTGAGGGAAATAGTCTGGGATAGACATATGGATGTGGAAGTTGTTGGGGAAGAAGTGATTCTTGAAGGATGGAGAGTATAGATGGAGGTGAGGCAGAGAATGTATCTGAGAAGGTGTGTGAGACTAGGGGTAGGGAGAGAAGGAAGCAGAGCTGTGTGGAAGCCCAGAAAACAAGATATGCAGAGAGCTGAAAGACCAGCCATAGAAGATGTTCCTGAGCTTGTCAGGTTCCACACCTCCTGTTGGCTATCTGTTCTAGCCACAAGGCCAACATTTCCCTGAGATTCCAGCCTCCTGGTCACAGCATCCCATACCAAGCACATGCTGAGAGGATTTGCTTTCCGCATCTGTTCCCCATCAGTAGCAAGTACAGCCAGAGAGAATGGTGGCTGGCACCCTGAGCAGTCCTCCCAGGATACCACCCATCAGTGGAGCCTGTGACAGCAAAACCTGCTTCCCTTCCCCCTTCCTTCCAGCATCCATCTTTCATTGTTTTTCACTTTTTTTAAAAAAAAATTTTCAAGACACATTTATTTTTGAAATCATTTGTATTTGTCTCTAGAAAAGTCGTATTTACACATCAAGGAACAAAGGCTTTTTTTTTTTTTTTTTTTAAATGTAGATCTCAGCAGAACAATCCATCACAGGGTCCTAGCATTCTAGGAACACTCCAGCAAGGGAACCCAAAGGGAGCTGCTGTCCTTCTCAATCATACTCAGAGAATCGAATGTGCTGACTGGCTTGTTGAGTCTTGGCCAGTCTAATCTTCTCAGCTTTTGTGATTAACTTCTCCGTGCCTCTTTTCTTTTCCCGAGGTTGATTAAGTTTGGCCTGTCTATCTACCAAAATCTTCTGCCAGTACCTCTGCTCATGATCACCCAAAAGGACCTAGAGGTTCCAACAGTGCTTCTTTCTGATTTCAGTCTGTGCACTCATTACTGCCTGAGCATCCTCAGGAGTTTTGAACCGGGCATGGCATTCAGTATCTCCTTCTAGCAAATCAACGTAAACAACTTATGAGACTGTGGCCGAAATATCCTAAACTATACCATGTTTGACTTAGAGCACATGGAACCATCTTTAAAACATTTTACAATAACCGTTTTCACTTTTTTGCTGCTTTTCATTTTTCTTATTTTTTCCTTATGATAGTTTACAGTTATTTTAATGTTTTTATTGTTGATACTTGATTTTAGACATGCAAATTTCTATATTTTCAAAACTTTAAAGATAGAAGCAACCTAGGAATAATTCAAAAATCTTGTCTGTTGAACATAGATATGTGTTCAGCTTGAGCTTCTTACACATCTGAAGCATCTTGTCTGTCTGGATGTATGTATATCTGTGTGTCTCTGTTTGATCAATAAAATTAAATATAAAAACGTTTGATAATTTTTTTCATCAGATGGATCTCAATAAAACTGAGGATGTGATATCAAAATTGGAAAGCCTCCACCAGCAACCTCATATTTGGGATTTTCTTCATTCACTTCCCAGACTGCACACAACCAATGCTCACTTGGAAGACAGCATAGATGCCATGGCACACTTTCTCCAGGCAGGTTTAAAGTAAGTGAAAAACAGCAACAAGTAATTACATGTATTATCTTCCATAATTTTAATAGGGGAATGTTTCACTGAGTAATAGTTTCATAAAAGATACCCTACTAATGTCCTGCTGAAATATTTGGAGCCCTCATACCTACGTCTTTGTCCCCACCTATGTGCACATATCTTACCTGGGGGCAGTGGTGCTGTTTAGCTCATATTCAATCATTAGAAAGCTAATATTATCTGATAACATTTCATTGGCTTGTATTATCTTTCATCATTTTTAATGGCTGATGAATTAGCATATACCGCACTATACTTCATAATCGTACCATCAGCTGTGTTGTTTCTAATGTTTTCACCATTAGAAAAGTGACATAAATGTAATAATTTTAGCTACTAACATTGTGTAGCCTGATAAGCTCTGTGCCTTCCTCACAAGTTGGGAACCATTTGGTATGGTAGCTCTGATCCCATGTCCCTAGGGGAGCATTCTGGAGCAGAGCTTTCCATAGTGCGCTTTCCACTTTTTAACCAGTGATTTTTTTTTAACATAAATTATTAACTTAACACACAGCCCCTTGTGATGCTGACATGATTGAGGATTGTCAGGGGTGGGTGTCTTAGCCCTCACATTGTGTAGCACAGCTCATCTGAGGATCATAGCTCTTTAAATTTTCTTTATGACGTTTTAGTTGTCATGAAGATTCACTGAATGGCAGAGAATGAATAACACCCTAGCATTTCACTATCTTAAATATTTGGACATGGTTGGAAGGAGGCTCTCTGTCCCATTGCTCTAAACACTGGATGTATTAGCAGTGGACAGTGGGAATTCTTTAGAAGATTGTTTAGAAGAAAGTACAATTTGAAACTGGAATGTATTGATGACGGTGGCTGACAGTGTCACCTTCTGTGTGGGTTTCATTTCTGTTTTGTGTTGTTTCTATGACATAAAGAATCATCATAGACATTGCTTGCAAGTGATATTGGGGTTCAGGGATTACTTCACAGTCTTGAGATTTTCCTAATTGCACAAAGCTGCAGGGAGAGATTTTTCTTAGTGAGAAACTACATGGACATCACCTGTTTGAGACCAGGATGTATGGTGGAGTCAGCCTCATGCTGCTAAAACACATACTCAGCCAAGCATGCTTTCTGATCTTAACTGTAATTATTTATAAAATATCATTATTTTAAAAAAAGAATGTATATAATATACCTATGGACTCCCATTGTCTAAAACCCCCTATTCTGTAAAATGGTTTGAGAACCACCGATTGGCCCATGCCTTTTTCAGATTCCTGGATAGGACACAGTGCAGTATGTTATCCAGGTGTTAGACTGACTATGGGAACTTGAGGCAGTCCAGCCGGCTGCTCATCTTTTTTTAATTGTGTACTCTTCCTGGTTTTGTCAGCTGCCAAGAGTGGGCTGGTAGACCCAAGGCTGATCATAAAACAGTACCCATGATAGAGTACCCCAAAGCATGGTGTGTGGGAAAGCTACTTTGGGGTATTTCAAGAGAGGAACTCACTTCTGCTTGTTATTTTGCCCAGGGAGTTAGGGTCACGTCAAGCTAAGAAAAGTAATGATCTGGCATGTCCTGGAACAGGGCTGGGATCTGGCCAATGGGGACTAAGTAAGTCTGGAGTTGACACTCTTTGACTGACTACCAACTCACCCTGCTTGCTTTTGTTTCTTCTGTTCTAGTTCGTTAACTTCTCTGGGAGATTTGGATTGGCTACCATTGCACCAGACAATCCCTCAGGTTTCTAGACATGTTCTGAATGTGACCATCTCCACCCTGAGGTTTCTGCTGCAGCACAGAGTAGCTGTCAATGGTGAGGCACCTTGAGGGCTGTACTGGGGGTATTCCACTCTTGCAATGCTTTAGCAAGCTCAGAGCCAAAGGGATTTTCAAGAAGTGACAAATGAACATCTTGACGCCAAATTCACTCTTTCTGCTAGTAAAAGACGGACATAGGAACAAAATTTCCAAGTCAAAACTGACTTTCTACCACCACTGAAAATTCTGCAGTCATTGCTAATAAGAATTGCACTTACATTTCAAACAACTGATTTTTGAATTCCTTAAATTGTAAGTTGTAAGCTGCCTTTTAAGTTAAAACAAACCACTTGCTCTGTGATTTTCTTTTTTCTTTTTGGTTTTTTGAGACAGGGTTTCTCTGTGGCTTTGGAGGCTGTCCTGGAACTAGCTCTTGTAGACCAGGCTGGTCTCGAACTCACAGAGATCCGCCTGCCTCTGCCCCCTGAGTGCTGAGATTAAAGGCATGTGCCACTAACACCCGGCTGCTCTGTGACTTTTAACCTTTCATCTCTTTATTCTCCTATTGGGAGGAAATTCCAGTACCCACCAACTGGAGTTGGAAGCAGTAGAAAAACAGTGAGGTTACTCAAAGAAGGCAAACTGTTGTGTAGATAATAAGTAGCCATCTTCAGGGAGGGGAATGGGATCCCTATTTTCTTGCCTCGGACATTATTAAGTTGCCATTGGATTTAATAGTTTACTTAAAAGTTTATTCCCTTGGGCTTTTTCTTTGTTTAATTTTGTATGGGAATTAGTACAGTGAGAGAACAGTGGAGTTAGAATTCATTTCCTATCATCTGTTGTCTATCTGTCCATCTGATTAGTAGTCTAGCCACCCATATATGATCTATTTGGCTGTTCATCTGCCCACCTATCTCTCTATTCATTTACATATCAGTTAATTCATTCCCCACCCACTCATCCCATCATTGCTAATCCATCAACTTCACCACCTATCTACCTATTTCATTCATGAGCTGAAATGGAAATTGTTCTCTCTCTCTCTCTCTCTCTCTCTCTCTCTCTGTGAGACTAAAGTTTGAATCTAGAATCTGACATATCACTCAAGTACTCTACCACACTTATATATACTCAATACTTTAAACCATTTTATTTTTATTTTTAATTATGTGTATATGTATATAAGCTTGCACATATGAGTACAGTGCCTGCAGAAGTCAGAAGAGGGCATCTGGTTCTCTAGAACGGGAGGTAGTTGTGATCTACTGGATATGGGTACTGGGAATTTAACTAATTCAGATTTTATACCACAGTGATATTCACTCTTAACCACTGAACCATCTCTTTAGCATCACCTTCCCACTTTTTATTATTATTTTGTGCAAACTCATTGAGATTTGTATATTGGACAAGTGTTTGAGTAGCCAGGCTAATCTGAGTGTATGGTATTTTATTTGTGAGCTCATTACAATGAAGTGATTTACATTAAAAAGTGAATACATTAAATTTATTACATTACATTAAAATTATTTTTATTTAGTGAAAGTATCTCACTAAGTTTCCCAGGCTGGTCTTGAACTTGTAATCCTCTAGACTTGGCTTCTGTAGTAGCTGGGATCATAGTTATCGTAAGGAGTGGCAATTGCACTCAGAGGTGTCATGTTTATAAGGGAGCAAAAGATGCCAATACAGAAAACAGAGTCCTCAGAGTAGGCATCTGGCATCTTCTTCAGGGACATCTTCAAAGGAGGTTTTTGAAGAATGTTAGGATTCATTGGTATGGCTGAAGAGCATTTCCAGGAAAGGGGACCAGTGTTTGATATGCAAGGGCTTGCCAGAAGTGGAGAGTGCTCAATGGTCAATGTGTCTGAGTTTATATCAGGCAGTGCCAGGGATTGGCTCAGAAAGAGAGCCAGGTTCAGTCACAACGACCAATGGAGCAATAGATTCAGAGATTCACTGTAGAAGAGAGATGCTCTGGAGACAAGTGTGAGCAAGGACTGGAGGCAGGCAAATCCTGGGTCACTCCTCCCATTGGCCTTTTACTTTGGTGGCTCAGTGTCCTAAGCTATACAATGCATTGGTTTCACAGAGATTCCTGCAAACCCAGCCACATTTCTCCAGCTGTATGGAAGAGGCTAACACAATATGATCCTTCACAATACCCTCCCTCACTTCAAATTTCACTTGTTTCTTGGGATTCAACATATTAGGTCTCATGGAGAGGTTGGGTTTCTTTGATTTTTCTGTATGAAGGAAACTAGGCCATTAAAGATTAACTCATTTTTTATATCAGTTTAGTTCTACCAGAAGCTATTTCTTAAGTCCAGAACAAAAGCCTGGAGGCCGGGTAGAGGTATATTAAATATCTCATTGAAAGGTTCTCTGTGACCTCAATTTTAACAAGCTCATCTGGAAGCAGAAATTTGTGCAAATCATCCAAATTGTAACATTCAATTTAGCTTACATTGGAGATATAATTACTTTAAAGAATGTAATTAAAAGTAATTTTCTATCCATTTGAGTCAGAGTTAAGAAATACAATTCTAAAATAGACTTCTAGAGACCACTAAAAGTTGTCTTCATTTCTCTTGTCTCCAAGAAAAATGCCTTTCCTAGTGAATAGACTATAGGGTGTGCAGGAAAGGGACCATTCTGCCGTCCCAGCCACATCATTCACTGACATTGTCACATGATCGGAACAATCCCCTCTTCAGCCATGAATTTCATAATCCATATTGCTCTTGATTTTCAAAGAACATTATCTTTCTTTTCCAAAGCATTTTAGTAGACATATGACACTATCTTTCCTGTTCTTTTCTGGAATTCTATGTCTAATTCTAGTAAGATATATCAGTAGGAATAGGTATTTACAGCTCAGGCTTGCGAACCACATCCTTTGGGTGTAAACACTATCTTACTCTAGGAATGAGATTTTTACATAACTTTTTCTGATTCTTCTTCTCTCAAAAGGGGACATTTAACATGCTGTTTTTTGGTGACTTAAATTTCATGTGGGAAATGCTCAATTCCCAGTCTGGCATCTCAACAACATTCCATTGAGGACTAATTTTAATCTCAGAAAACAATGTTATTTTGACCTATGGCATTATGCAAAGACAATATTGGAAATCTAAAGTCTTGGATTCCCAGGGTCTGCCTTCCTTTTCCTTTTTCTCTCAAATGTCATGACTAGAGCTGGGGAAATACGTCACAGGTTAAGAGCATGTATTGTTCTCAAAAAAGACTGTTTTATCCTAGTATCCATGTCAGGCAGCTTCCAACTGCCTGCAACTCCAGCTCCAGGGGATCCAACACCCTCTGTTGACATCCATGGGTACCTGCATGCATGTTAACACACTTCCACACATATAATTAAAAATAGTAAAAATCCTTTAAAAAGTGTCATGGGTCTTATCTGTAGCATTCCCATTACCACATTAGGTTAAGGATCATATGAGATCACACATGTGGAGAAATTTTGCAGGTGGCTGGCACATGTAAGGTACACGGCAGATGGCTGTAGAATCATGATCTGAAATGATCCATCTACTTGCTAGATTTGCTGACAAAAGTTCCCCTAATGGCTTGTGTGCTGTTTGCAATTGCCAGGATATGCTCCGTGGGGATCTTATCAGGCTCCCAGAATTTGGTTGGGCTGGCACTTCCAGATGGTGCCGCTTGAGAATTTGAGCAGCTTATATATAGGCTTTATGTCTTGATTATTCCAGTTTGTATGAACTTCCTACTGTGGCTTGAACTTTTAGTTGGACTTAGAGGTCTCCCTGTAGAATTTTATATTGAGTCTTTTTCCTTGATGCTACAGGTAGCTACTTTTCAATATTTAACTAGTATGAAGTTAGTGCAAAACTATTACTATACCTAATTTTCATTTGGTTATCTGATTAATCTCCTTGAGATAGCATTTTAGACTAGATGTGAATTACTGTGTTCATTAATCTGAATTTTACAAAGCTCATGAAATGTACTTTTCAGTTCTTCCTTGGAACTGTGTCATCATTCATGTGGGAGTCTTGAGATACCACACTTCTCTTAGTATTTAGAACACTAGTTTTCCCCTATGTATGGTTTTAGTTATTCACAACCAACTTCAACCTACAAATGGTAAGTAGATAATTTTAAAAATTAACAAAATAAGCAATTTATGAGTTTTAAAGTTTTTTTTAAGATTTTTATTGTGTGTGTGTGTGTGTGTGTGTGTGTGTGTGTGTGTGTGTGTGTGCAGATACCCACAGAGGCTGGAAGAGGGCATTGCATTCCTCAGAGATGGAGTTACAGGCAACTGTGAGTCATCCAATGTGGGTTCTGGGAGCCGAACTCCTGTTCTTTGCAGGAGCAGCAAGTATTCTAAACTTCTGAGTCATCTCTCCAGCCTGGATCCACATATTTTAAAATGCATGACCTTCTGAACAATGAGATAAAACTTTCTCTTTCATGTTCCATTTGCCTTGAGCAGGAATCACTCTTTTGTCCCAAATCTAAACTGTGTATACTGCTTGCACATTAGTCACTTAGCAGCCAACAGTACCTGTGGTTATCAGACTACCTGACATGGCATGGTAGTGCTTTTGTTCAATAGCATTTATTTTACTTAATAGAAGCCTTCAAATGCAAAGAGCAGTGAACCTGGCAATTTTATCAAGGCATATTATTGTTCTATTACTAGTTGCTTTAATGTCTCACTATGCCCACTTTATACATTTAAGTTTCTCATGGGTGCATATGGGCAAAGTTTTTGCTATATTCAGGGTTTGGTTACACATGTTTCAGGCATCTACTAGGGGCCTTGTGATGTGTACTTTGCACATGAAAGGTGATGACTGTATCAGCTTTGTTTATTCTTCTTTAAATTATTTATTTATTTATTTATTCTCTCTGTGTGTGTCTGTGTGTGTGTGACTTAAGTGAGTTTATGTATATAAATGTGCATTTAGGTGCCCATGGAGGTAAGACCTCATCAGAACCCATGGAACTTGAGTTACAGGTGGTTGTGAGCCAACATGTGGGTGCTGAGACTGTGTCCTCTGCAAGAGCAGCAAACACCCTTAATTTTTGAACCAACGTCTCCAGCCATTGTTTTTAGTTATTCACAAATAGTATTTGATGGTTTAAGGTTATTTTTCTATCCACTTAGAGGTAAGATATTTTCTTTATTACTATAGGCATATCTGAATATCAAAATAACCAATGCATGAATCATCTGTGTTCACAGAGTCCATTTACCACCTATCCCTGCAGAATATGGTATGGGATCCACAGAAAGTCCAATCTGATCTCAAATCTCAATTTGGTTTCAATGACCATCAAATGGAACATATCCTGAATTATTCAGCTGAGCTGAAAGAGGTATTCATACTTGTGTTCTTCTCATGGAATTGGGTGTTTTTAGAGTGACTCTACAAAATAGTCACCTGTAAGCATGAGTTTTCTGGCCTGTCAGATCCCCAAATAAACACACAGAAGTTATATTAATTATAAAATTGTTGGCCAGTGGCTTGGGCTTCTTATTGTCTAGCTCTGTCTTAATTATTAACCCATTTCTATTAATCTGTATATTTCCACATGGTCTTATCTTACTGGAGAAAGGTCCTGTTACTCCTTTTTGGTCTACATGGCGACTGCATCTGCCTATGTGTCACAGAATTCTTCTCATCTCCTAGTCCTGCCTGTCTCCCTGCCTCTATTGGCCATAGTGATTTATTCAATCTCTTTCTTTCTTTCTTTCTTTCTTTCTTTCTTTCTTTCTTTCTTTCTTTCTTCCTTTCTTTTTTTCTTTCTTTCTTTCTTGACAGGGTTTCTCTATGTAACAGCCCTGGCTGTCCTGGAACTCACTTTGTAGACCAGGCTAGCCTCAAAGTCAGAGATCTGCCTGCCTGTTTCCCGAGTACTGAGATTAAAGGTATGTCCCATCATGCCCAGCAAGATGTCCCATTCTTTCCTTATCATTTTATCTCAGCACTCAGGCAGTTTAGAAGTGGTATGAACCTGATTACTCTGGGAACCATCAGTAGGATAAGCCAGGCCAGGCATGGTGGAGGTGTGATGTCCACTAAGTGGATCTGTGAGCATGGCTCCAGGCAGGAAATTGGGTCTCAGTGGGAGCAGATATGTGGGGGATTCTCCAGGCAAAGAAAAAAGAATGGATGTGAGAGGAGATGGGCTAGCCAAAACTGAGCCCAAGTTTTTAAACTGGATAAAATGAAGTTGTTGTCTTTGTCTACCCTTAGAACATAGTTCACATGGATATTACTGAGGTTCTGTGGTGTCTTTTGTCTGAAGAGCCCTCTTCTATGGCCCGAGACATTTTGGAAGCTCTTCTGATTTTCAATAGGCACAAGAACACATAACTGCATCCTTAGTCCATGAACTCCTTCTCTCAGACCCTACCTACATCTATAAGACTTTTCTTGTATGCTAAGTGAAGACCCAGTATCTCCTTTTGGAGTCTTAAAAGTACTCATGTACTTAGGGTGGGATCTAACTTACCTTCCTATGATTTTCCATGTCCCTGTGAGTAAGTATCCTTCTGTGACACATTAGTCATGCTTTGAACACACTCTCTCCACCCCAAGGGTTTTGAAAACCCGATTCATGAATTTGTTAATATTGTTTGGAGGTGGATTCTTTGCGAACTAGGAACAGATGAAGTCTTGGTTGCTTAACTCATGATGACATTGGTGGATTTATTGGGGAGGGACAGACCTGAGTGCTACATTCACTCTGTATGGCCATGTAATACTCTAATGTTGTTTTGGTGAAGAATAAGGCCCTCATGAGATGCCAAGAAGATTCTCAGACTTGACAGGTTCTAGAATCTTGGGCTATGTGAACCCAAGAAGCCCAGTGGGTTTAGACTTTCTTTACTACTTGGAAAAACTGTATCCATGGGGGTTAGCATGGGAAACCTCAGGGTTGGTGAATCTGCTTCCCACTTTTGTGAAAAGCCTGTGAATGTCTGTCACCTGTTCATGTCTTCAGGTCTTCTCTGTGTCTGGCCTGACTTACTTCCCTCCATTTCCTGTGCCTGTTTGGGAGCCTTACCATACACTGCTCCTGGTCTGATGTGGGACTCATCACCACCTTTTTCTGTCCCCACAAAGTGATTGATGAGCTCCATGTGCTAGGAGTCCCCATGACTTCCCTCCAGTCTCAGGGCTCCCATGACTTCTTTAGCCTCTGTGACAGGGCCTGTCAAAGGGAACTTACTGTCTGCACATACTGTCCTCACAGATTGAATGTCTAGGCAGGATCAAGGCCATATCTTTTTTAATAGGATACATGACCTTGATATTACTTCCATCTAGAGAGAGGGGGCAAAGGAGAGAGAGAGAGAGAGAGAGAGAGAGAGAGAGAGAGAGAGAGAGAATAACAATTAGAATAAAACCACAAGGGGCCTTGTGCTTTCGATAGTCACAAGTGAATAATTTTCATGTGAGTCATGTGAGTCCTACAGGAAAGTGTGGGATGAGCAAAGACACTTTATCATTCCATTGTCTTTGTCCAGTTTGATGCTGAAATACCACAGATTGAGGGATGTATGCCCCCCAGAACTCCTTTCTCAGAACTCTGGAGGCTGAAAGCCTGAGTTCACGGCACCAGGAGGCTGGCTGACTGGTTAAAGTCCACTTTCTAGTTGTAAGATGACAGTGTCCTCTTCCTGTGCCCTCACGTGGTCCAAGGATGACTGATAAGCTCATCAAGCCCCTTCTTCTTTTGAGAAGCATTAGTCCAATGATAACTCCTTCCTCATGAGCTCTTCTGCCTCTGTGTTAATCACTTCTCCATTACTGTAGCAACTACCTGAGATTTGATCATCTTAATAGAAGGAAGGTTTTTTTTTTAGCTCAGTTTCAGGGTATTATGGGTCACTTGGCCCCTGTTCTCTTGGGGTTTTCAGTGAGGTGGCACATTATGGTGGAAAAAGCTGTTTACTTCATGGTGGCCCAGAAGCAAAGACAGAAGAAGGAACAGAGACACAATGTCCTCTAGAAGAGCATATCCCAGATGATCTTATTTTTCCCTCCTATGCCTCACTTCCTAAAGGTCACCTCCTAATAATACCCTGTTGGCCTCTGGAGAATACCAGTTCCAAACTGTAGAGATCCCAAGAGGTTCCCCTTCCTCACACTGTCAACTTGTGGGTGATGGCTTCCATGTAGGCATTTGAGGGGGTTGAAAATATTCTTACTGCAGCAACCATCAACAGAACTTCTGATGATAGTACAGTTATTGTAAGAATCCAGAATTGGATGGATGTAGCTCCTTTTGCCACACGCATTTGTAGAGTAGTTTTAGAGAAGTAAATACACAAAAGAGAATTGGTTCAAAATGGTAAAACAATTTCTAACCAGAACTGCTTTAAAATATATATTGTCATTGATAAGCAGTCTCTGAGTACCACTTTGTGACAGGTCTGGGGATGATAAGGCAGCTAGCTGTGTAACACACGTGTCTCATGCCCAGATCAGACAGTGAGTGTATGCAAGGAGCAAAGGCAGGTAGACTGCCTGGCCCATGATGACTTTTGGTGGAAAAATGAGGGTGAGCCGTATTTGACTTAACTATGTGTCTTCCTCCTGGAGAAATACTGGCTCCTGCTGTTCCTAAAAGAGTGGGATCTATTTTTGTCCTTAACTATAGAGGCCTCCCCTCAGGACAAATAACACAGACATTATGAGTGGCAGAGTACTGTTCAGGTGAACACATGAGCTTTGACTCCAGCAAGACTGGGGTAAAATTTTGAAAGAAAAACATTCCAGGAAAAACCACCATAATTATAAGTATTTTTTCATGTTGTTTCCAGATTCCTACACACAGCATCCTCAAGAGGATGATATGTTTCATCTTGTCCAACACTTCTGAGGATGAAGCCTCGAGCAAGGGCTACCAGGCAGACTGTCATCCCAAGTGGTCAGCAGTACAGAACTATATCATCCATGCAGTCAGTTGGCTGAAACTCTATGCACAGGTGCTGTTGTGTGTCTGGATGCTCTGAGGGCAGCAGATCTCCTCTCATGTCATTCACTGTGTGATTCTATGATCTTTCCTGGGAAAGACCTTAGGACCTCTGCATCTGGTCATTGTGACCCACTCTCACATACATCCAATGGCTGTAACTCATCAGACTCTCAGCCAAAGCCACCAAAAGCATGTGACCTAGGCATACAAATGCACCTGTTAGCATTAGGTAAGAGGTCCCTAGACCCATGCTGTGTTGCTGGCATGCGAGATCCCTGGTGCCGCTTTGAATGTCATGCAAGCATTAGTTTTGTCTTATGCCTTCTCTGTTTTTTTCCTTGAACATTGTGCAAAACTAATGACTATGATTTAAAGGTCTATCAGATGTCTTCAGAGACATAGGGGAAAAGTGTTCATTGGGGGCTATTTCAGAGATGCTGGTGTACAGCAGAATACCCTGATAAGAAGAAAGTTGATAACCTCCAAACCTCACAGTGGCCCTCGGTAGCTTTCAGCTCTGTTCCTTGAGATACATGGACACTATCAGGCCACACTCCCTCCACAGTACCACGGACTCTTTGTCAAGTATCATATCCACTTACATTATTTTTTGCCTTGGAAAACTCACCCTGATAAGATCTTCTTACCCTCCAAACACACAAATGATAAAGTGAAGAATCTCAAGTAGTGGGTAAAAAAATCTTCAGAAAAATATGCATGACCGTTCACTTGTTAGAGTGTAACTTTTCCATCACTGAAGTGACCAAGAGATAGTTCTTAGGGGCCAACACTAAAGTGTTAATCTGGGTAGCTAGCTAAGACTTCATCAGTCTACCTGCCTGTAGGCAGACATGTAGCCAGCCCCTAAGCAGGCGTGGCTACAGGTTCCCCTACACCTGCCTTTGCTTAATGCATAGACTCACTGTCTGATCTGGGCATGAGACACTTGTGCAACATGGCTAGCTGCCTGCAGTATCATCCCCAGACCTGTCACAGTGATACTCAGGGACCACTTATTAATGACAGTGTGTATTTTAAAGCTTATAGTTTCATCCAAACTATTCTCAGTGTGCTGGTTCAGTTTTCAAGTTAGATCATTAGATCTCTTTAAGTGAAATGCATAGTTTTACCTTATTTTCATTTCTTGTTTGTCTTGGAGGAATGAAAAAATAGGGGAATAAGCCATGTCCCTTGTTGACATTTATAATATTTAATTTAATTTTTGAGAAGACATGCTATCATAATACAATTGTAATAGATATTTTAATTGATCAGAAATTAAAAAACCTTGTCCTTTGGAATGGCCTGTTACTATTTCCTAAGCACAGTATTTCTAATATGATTGATAATCTACTTATGTTTCCTAATTTGCAGGTGTTTGACCAGTGGCAGCAGGGTGGTCTGCTGCAGAACCTGCTTGCAGGTGCCAGTCACAGCCTGGCAGCTCTTAGGGACCAGTTTAAAGAGGGAAGTGAACCACGGAAGGTGGTGGAAGCCCTGCACACTGCCCTTCTCATCCTGAGCGACAGCTTGGCAGCAGATGGCCCCAGAGACAGCCATCTGTTTGCACAGATGTAAGGCATATGTATGTCTTTTGTCACTGAGTAGGCTTGATCACGCTGACATTGTAGGAATGTGCAACAATGCTGTTAGAAACAAATGCTGTAAAACTACAGCTAGACATGCATTCCAAGTTAGCACATGGGAAACCGGAGGCTTTTATTGTGGATACCACCAGGGTAGGCCTATGCAGTCATCTGGACATGGATGTGAATATGTAAAGGCATCTAAAGGGTTGTCTGGTTGTGGTGGTACACACCTCTCAACCCAGTACTCAGGGGGCATAAGAGCTCTTGAGCTCAGGAGTTCATCCCAGCCTCAAGAGTCCTTTCTCAAAACATAACCAACCAAACAAAAGCAAACGAACAAAGTAATCTTACAGGCATATTGGAGAAGGTGTCAGCTTCCTGAATTTTGGGTTGATGTCTTTGTCTAAAATGAACACATGCATGTTAGAGGTGCTTTCCCATGAGGTGTGTCCTGTATTCACATATAAGGACTGTACAGAGCTGAAGTGTTCACATAGGCTCAGTCATACCTTAGTAGTGGGAAAAGGTGAGACTTGGATTTTTTTCATTTTTAATATTATCAAGATTAATTTACCCAAATGGTCACTTTCTTATGAGACTGGATACTTTGTCTTAGTGTGTGTCTTTAGGAGCTGTGGATCTACAGGATAAAACCTACCAGGTTGGGACCAAAAAAGATGGCATTGTTGTTGTTGCTGTTGTTGTGTAGTGAGGGATCTATACCAGATGTACCCTTGGCACTGACCACGCCTGTTTGGGAGTGGCTAATATATACACAAACTGAAACATAGGAAAGCACAAATTCAAGCCTTCTGGAATGTACATCAAAGTTTCATACAATGGCAATGTCTTCAGAGTTTTAAACAGGGGCTGAGAAGTACTTGCTAGGTAGGAATTCTGATCAGTGCTGGGAAAAAGTAGATTGTTTATGGGTAATTTTAAAGAAGGGCTTACTGTACAGTAGGTCAGCAGAAGTTAACATTGTTTTCAAGATCAGCTTGCACGGGCATGTGTGGGGCCAGGCCATAACTACAACCATGTTTGCTAGTTCAACGACAGATGCATTTGTGTCTGCGAGATGCTTAGTGATGGCTTCACAACTCAGTTTTCCATTTCAGGGCCAATGTACTACCCTTTAATCCCTCCTTTCCCCCTGTTTATGCATATATGTCCTGATGTATATGTGTGCTGTGTGCATATGTATGTGATATATGTGTTTGTGTGTTGTATACGTATGATGTGTGTATACATGTGTTTGTGTGATATGTATGATTGTATATGTGTGGTATGTTCATGTGTCTTCGTGTATGTATATGTATCTATTTGTGTGTGGTGTGTACCTATGTGTATGTACATATGTGTATGTTTATAGTATGGTGGTGGTGGTGGTGGTGGTGGTGGTGGTGGTGTGTGTGTGTGTGTGTGTGTGTGTGTCTGTGTGTGTGTGTGTGTAGCAGTTTGTACTAATGTGAATCCTATTAGCCTCTGGAATTCATGCTTTCCTCAGAAGAAAACAGATTTCTTATTGTCTCCAAAATGTTGTTTAAACCATAAGATTTTGTTCAAATACAGAGATTCTGGTTCTGTGGAATGCAAATGGTACCATAGAATCATGAGTATATGAGGCTATATTGTTGTGATTGCACAGTGAAGGGTAACTCTAAATATTTTATGTTCTCTCCCATTTTTTAGAGTCCACTTAGGATGTAGGTTTTTTTCTTGAGGATCTTGTCTTCTGACTGAGGAGATGCCTGGGCTGTGGGGCATTAGGATTGTGGGTAGCAGTGCCACAAAGGCTGTAGAAGGATGGATACTACAAATAGCAGGGGTGTGGTTGAAACAGAAGGACAAAGGTCAGTGATGTCAGTAACTTCAGACTCATGGTCACCTCAAAGACCTCAAAGACCTCCTAACACTTCAGCCCAGGGTCTTGACTCTTCTCTGACTCACGAGAGTGAAATCTGAGGAACATCCACTTGGTCCTTAGTACATTAAGATTAGAGAAGCTAAAGGTTTCACTATGTGCTGTCCACCAAGCCACAGTTAACCTCTGTATGTAGTCAGACTCAGGGCCTGACACTGCCTTTGCTGTCTACTGCTGAGTGCACAAGGCAATTAGTCCAAGGAATCTCCTTTTCCATTCAGCCACCACCATTGCTACACCTAATACAAAATTTCCCCTGGTGGCTATCTGGGCAATAAGCAGATCCATCACTTGTGCAATTCTAGCCATTCTGTCAGCTTCTCTGGGGCCTCAGCCATCCTATCTGTTAATGGCCACCAGATAACCTCTAAGGTTTTACCTAGTTATCAAACTATTGATTTTCTGGAGATGTTGCCCTGCCTAGTAGCCCCATCTCTTCACTTCACATAAGGGGTTAGTCTGCCAACATTGCTAAGCTGCCCTGATTGACAGAGAGGCCCCTATGCAGACAATGCCCCAGCTCAGTGGAGGACATTCCCACTTCTCCCATTAACATCCAGTTCTGTTTCTGCTTCTGCCTCTTTCTAAACCTTCCTCTGTCTTTCTCCTCTTCAGATTCACTGACTTTCTTACATGGATGTCAAATGTCCCTTATACAATCTTTAAGACTTTGCAATCCCTCATTAATTATATTGTTTTTGGAGTTTTCTCTTCCTCCTCCCCCTCCTTTTTCTTCCTCTTCTTTTTTATCCTTTTCCTCTTCCCTTCCTTCTCTTCTCCCCTTCTCCCCCTCCTCCTCATCCTCTTTTTTCTCCTCCTCTTCCCCTCTCCTTGTCTTCATGGAGTCCCATCTCAACATGAATTTTTGTGGTTGAACTCTGCCCACTTTCTCTCTGATGTTCTCTCTTACCTGTCATATTGTGACTGACCACTCTTCTGTTTGGTCCCTGTAGCACTCTTGAGTGCTTCCTCCACTTTAGGGACTTTTGCCTCTGTTTCTGCTATACCTCTTGTCTCTGTTTAAACTTTGTTTCTTAGTATATGCATTTGTATTTAACTGAGCAGCCACCGTGTTGCCAGGCTTCTGCATGATTTGCACTCAGCCTTGGCAAGAAACTGCATCTTTCTTATACCAAGTGTTGGTTTAGGGAATCATACTTGTTTTTTAATCCATTGTTTCCATAGCCAATCTTTCACATCTTCTTCTCAAATCACTGCAGACCTTCTCTTTCTTGAGATTTTGTTTGTTCCTGCCAGTTGTGTGCCTGGGCCCTGGGAGCTCTTCATCTGGGCTCTGATATATAGCAAAGATTCTGGGCAACATGGACTTATAGGGTATCCCTGTGTACTTCAGCAAGCCTGAGTTGTCAAAGATAGAGCTCTTTGCTTACAGATGTGGTCCTATAATTCCCTTGATTGTCAGAGCTTGAAGCAGCCCAGATTCAGATTCCATATGACATGTTGGGTGTTTATTTTTTTTTTTCTTAGAGAGTAAAAAGGCACAGTTGTCTCTCCCTTTCTCATTCTTCCCACGAACCAATCTGCTTGTTCCTCAGTACCCAGAATGTCTTAGAAAGTGAACAATCTGACCTTTGCTTCATCCCATGGAAGGCTTAGTTCAAGAAGCTACCCTTCAGGCTGGGTAGAGAGAGCTGGTACATGTAGGGTGATGGACTAGAGATGGTTCCCCCTTCCTTTTGATTCCTCATAGGAGAAACACCACGAGGACCCTCCTCACTCCTCTGTACTCTCTGCAGTTATGGAATCCAACTGAAGACATTGTTTGTCAAACTTGTACTTTACCAAGCACTGGTGAGATGTTCTGAGGAGTCCAGGTAGAGCAGGTCTGAGAAAGTCCAGATGTGGACACGCATTGCAGCAGCATTTCAGCCCAGGGAGTGATTTGCTTGGGTTCTTAGTAGCTCCACTGTTCATCTTCTGTTCCTCATCTGGCTATCCTTTTCCTGGTTGAAGATGCAGTATACTTCCATGAAGAAGCAGAAAGCCTGGCATTGGCTGCTCTAGGCAGCCCTGTTCCTCACTGTGACCTGCTAATGGCTCTTCACTCTCCCACATTGGTTTCCATTTGAGCTTCTTTTCAACCTCAGTTTTCAGATCATTTCCTTTCTACTTTCTCGGCTGCATTGTGTCCTGCATCTTTTTGAGCCACACATCATCCTTCTCTACAGACTTGATGGCAGAGCATCTGCTGGGCCTCTGACTCTTCCTATAGTGTCAGCTCCCCAAGCAGGAAGGTAGAGACAGATAGGTATTGCTGGAAATTCAGCCCTCAGTGGGTTTCCTTAGAGGATTTCAAGGTGAACATCTTAAAAAGAATATTTCTTACAGCAGGCCCCAGGTTGAATGCTCTTTCTGCCTAGTTAGCCTCATCCCCCAGGCACTGTAGATGTCAAACAGTCTTACAGTTTTCTTTTTTTATTTCTTTGATTTTGGAGACTCTTAACTTAGCCTGTGTAGGATTCCTTTGATGGGTCTTTAATACCACTTTTACTCCTTTGATGGGTCAATATTTTGAAAGTCAGATTAATTTTCTGTGCCCTGTAACTGTAAGATTTAAAGCATTAAAAAGTATGTTTCCCTGAACTGGCCCTGAACCCACAATCCTTCTGCATTAGCTTGCCAAGTTCTAAGCTGATAGTCATAAAAAAATAAAGTGTCATTCTCAGCAATGTAAATATTTGTAAATGTCAGCAGATGATTCATCCCAATTTTCACCTGCTTCACACACTTCTGGAGGTAAAGAGAATATTTAACCTGGGCCTGCTTCCCAAAAGAATCTTCCCAGTGGAGGATTCAACAACTGACAAAGTAGTTTGTCAAGAACCCTGTTAGGTGCTGCAGTGAGCCTTCCAGTCTGACTATGCTTCCCTAAGTGGTGGGGTGAACTCTGCTAGGTGCTGCAGTGGGGTGAACCCTGCTAGGTGCTGCAGAGGGCCTTCTAGTCTGTGATTATGCTTCCCTAAGCAGTGTGTGTGTGTGTGTGTGTGTGTGTGTGTGTTTCCTTTGCTTCATCTTCTGAGGTGGTACGTTTATTTATTTTTGTCTGCAGACTCCAGCATCTAAGCAAGTTACAAGGTGTGGTGTCAGACCTATCTCCATGGCCAGTTCTGAAGAGACTGCCCCTGCTGGATACTGTTCTCAGGAATGTGGTGACCCAGGACTTGCGTTTTGTCCAAGGTGAACTAGATCTTCCTTTATGTGCCATCCACTGACCATGAGCAAGTGAAACAGTTACTGGAAAGTGGACAGACTTGTGCCTTCCTGATATGTTGATAGAGTTTCAAGCTGAGTTTTATTGGTGTGTCATATACACTTATTTATTGCTACAGTGGCCTCAAGGATGTTTCACACACAACATGCCATGCTGCCATCACAATGAAGGTTACACACTGCAGTTTAACAGAGCCTGCTGTATGGTCTAGGACAAGCCATTTCATGGGATGGTGTAACTTTCTCACTGACACCAATTCAGTGGTTCTCAGGCTGGAAATACACCCAGGACACTGTGCATAAGGGCAATGGTACCTCTGCTTTCCTGCCCTCTCTACTGTTGAGAGCCTGCATGGGATCTAGAACTTGCTGAGAGTACAGAATGCCCTGTTTTGAACTTCTACTGATTGGCAGGTGTTCCTTTTACCCTAGTTCAAAGAAGGCAATTTTACACTTATACCTTCACGGGCCAAATTCTTTTCACCTTCCTAGGGAGAAGAGAGAAAAGGCGAGAAGGGACATTGCTTTAGAAGCAAAGTGCTCTCATGACAAAGCACCCACACTATTTAGTTCTCATAAAGGATTAAATCACAGTCCATGACATTCCCTTTTCCTTTCCGATAAGATTATGAAGTATTTGATAACAGGTCGGGTTCACTGAAATTCTTATTTTTGTGATTCACTTTACTGTCTTATGGTTATATACAGAAGGCAAGATTGAACAAGCCCAAGTCAAGTGGACAGTGAGGCGTATTTCTGTCTTGCAGGAGCCCTCAGTTACCTGGAGACATCAGCAAAGGATTTTGTACCTGGTGGACCCGACAGCTGGAGACTAGAAAAAGATGTGTTCTTCTGGGGGCTAAAGCAGGTAAAGATGATTCACAAACCATTCCCACAAACCATTAAAAAAACCCTAGCAATATTCACCGTTACCTGATGTGAGTTTTACTGGCAAAATAAAAGGAGAATAGACAGGTTTTTTGAAGAGCTCTGGGCTTCCCTTTAACATGGCTACTGTTTCTATCTGTAGTTCTTGTTTCCATGGGGAGCATCACCGAGTGTTCCTAAATGTTCCCTCTTTCCATCCTCATTAATTTTTCAGCTGTTGACAAAGAAGGCTTCTGCCACGTGCCTGAATGGACACTTGTCCCAGGAGGTGGCCCTCCACACTGGGAATGCCAGCATCTGGAGAAGTCTTTGGGGAGTGCTGTGCCATGTCCCTTCCGTCAATGAGACCAGTGTTTTACATGAGCTGCTTCATGAAGTGAAAGATGCTGTGAGTATCCACCATTAGATCTCTCCAACAGCACTAGTGGGGCTCCCATTAAACGGTTAGTCACCCAACATGCTTATCTTGAACCTGAAATTTGAACTACGAAAGTGCTGGCATCACTGAAAGGCCACGGCTGCCCGAATAGTGGCTACCGATGAGTTCTATCCCTCCTGACTCCTTGGGTGTGGAGGTGCATACTCCCTGCCACAACCTACCTGGAAATCTCTGAGAGGACTGCAAACTTTAAAAAAACACACATCTGCCTTGCAGGTTTCCTCATCTCTTGCCCAAACAAAAGTGTAAATAAGAGTGTGTACAATGTCAAACCCTACATTGTCTTCTTGGTCTCTATAACACATGCCAAGGGGTGTGCAATACAAACACGAAGATCTTCTGTGACTACAGCAGGGCAGATAACGTGAGTGAAGAACAGTTTACCACCTAGACATTTCCCAAAAGACGTTTATGAGCTTTAAATGTGGAGGAAAACTTGGAAGTTAAGAAAAGTCACAGATGATGCTAGTTAGACAGAACGGGATCGACAGGTGGCAAGCATGTCTCTTCACCTGTATGAGGAAGTCTTTTGTCTAGAGGTTAGGTGATCTGTCTTAACAAACCATTCCAAAGCTCAGTGGCTAAAAACAAAACACACTGTCTGATCTCTCCTGACTCTGGGGGCTGATGGGGGCTCAGGCAGGTGTAGTTCTCATACTCTTACAGATGTTCGACTGTGATCTTGTGGTCATAAAGGCTGGAGTTGGAATGCTTGGCTAGGCACCAAACTTGTGAGGTTTATCTTTTCTCTATCATAACCTCATGTGGGCTTTCTTCATAGTCAAGTCCAAAAATGGGCAAGAAGGAAAGTTTTCAAGTTTGTGACAGCTACTCAGACTGAAATTAGTTCGAGTCACTCTGCTGCATTTATGGGCTAGTGAGAGTCAGGGCTCAGGCTCAAGGGATTGTGGAAGGGGGGGTCACCATGAGGGTGTTTGTCAGGTCTGCTTCTTTGAGGGCTTTGTTAATTGTTCCTCCAACACATTTGGGATGACCATTCAACACACATGGCTGTGATACTAGAGTATCTATTAGGTGCCTGATAAAGAATCTTACTTTTTATTGGGTAGGACTTTATTTGGAGGCTGTTAACTTTGAACATGAGTAAAAGTCCATGTCTAGAATGGTGCCTCTGGGTCATTCTCCTACAGTTCACACGGAAACCTTGATAACTAGCATAGGTGGGCTACATCTGAAGTGCCCACATGAAATGGCTTAGTTTTTGACAGGTGATGTCTTCTCTTTTCTTTAAGGGTCATAGTTTGCAAGAGATCATTGCGGGACACACAGATGGAACAGTTTCAGAACAATTCGGGAACTTAGACTGGCAAGAACTTGGGACACAGCTGTCAGAAGTGAACTTTACCTGTTCCCAGGTCTTCAAGTTGCCAGGAGCTGCTGCCTCAACTGAGAATGGCATCTCTCCAGGTGGCTGTGAGTACCAGCTTGTCTCCACAGTGTAAGTATGTGTTGGATGGGAAATTTTTCAGGGCTTGGACATGGGCAGGATTTCAGATGATATGCAATGGTGGCTCACCATCATACATGCCATCCATCAAGAACAGAATACAAAGGTGCTTTTAGGGGAATAACCTGTTGCTATTATAAGAAAGCTTCTAAAATCTGTAACACATCAGTTTCCATGTTTAACCACTGACAACCTTTCATGACAAACCCAAAATCTGTGTGTAACCAAGGCCAAAGTTTGTCACATAGCTAGAATTTCCATATGGGGGACTGTCCATGTGAACTGTACCTTATTTCTATTTCATGACCCTTCTCATCAATAGCCACATTCTGTGGCATCTAATAAGCTTGCACTCAAATGGCAATGTATTTTTTTCTCAGCTTCAAAGTTTATCTTATATTGTTGTATTTGTTTTCTCTAGATTTAGTCTTTTTTGTGTTTTATGTATTGTCATAAATGTTTTCCCTTATCATCCAAATCAGGATAAAGGAATTAGTAAATGAATAAATGTTAAGTGAACTATTTAAAAGATTCTATTTTTTTTAGTGTGAACTGTCAGACTTTTGCATGCATTGTCTTTAAATGGGCTTATAATTATATATCAAAGTGAAAACTGTTAGTAAGTTCTAGTTTTCTGTATTGTTTTGGCTTCAGGATGTCTCACATACTTGAAGAAGGACAAAAGTCTCTGGAGCAAGTGTTGTATTGGAAAATCTTCTTAGGAATCATCAGGAAGACATGTGAATTGGCTCAATATGTGAACATGCATGAAAGTTTCCAGAATAGTCCGCCACGTAAGTTGGGAGGTCTTAATGGTAGGAAATGTGTGAAGTATTCTCCACTTAGTGAAACAGAGTTGCATTGTGAAATGCTGTTATGCATCACGGGAGGCAGGAAGGCTTAAGTGGAAGTCCCTACAACCCTTCTGGCTGTCACTGTGTTCAGGGTTTCATTACAGTTGTGATCAGACACCCACACTGCCCTTCTTTGTCTGGCTAGACTCTCCTAGCAATATTCACGGAGATCTTTTTCACCCTCAAAATTGTCCCTTGTTTGTATGGAAACATTTATTTTTCCAATTTTATTACTTCACTGCAAGTTATGCATACATTTTGATTATATTCATCCCTCCTCTAACACTTCCTCCCTCCTCATCCAACTTTGTATCCTTTTGTAACTTTTTGAAACCCTTCAAGACCAATTTGTGCTGCATAAATACTCTAGAATGTGTGACCTTTCAGTTGAGCATGTCTGACTTACCAGGGGCTAGACTCTTAGGGAAAACTGTTTCTACCTCTCCTAGCAGCAAACAATTACCAGTGGCTCTACGATGAGGGATGTGATGCCGAGCTCTCCTCTCCATGCAGGGATTTGGTCTGGCTTGGGCTTGTACAGGTCTTGTGGATGCTTTTGTAACTGCTGTGACTTCATATGTGCAGCTGCCTTCTGTGTCCAGAAGACACTATTTCCTTGTCATTCACCACCTTTGGCTCTCACACTCTTACTCCTCCCTCTTCTGAACTGATCCCTGAGTCTTGGGATGGGGGTGTGTGGTATAAAAGTTCCTTTTAGGATTGAGCATCTTGTAGTGTCTTATTCTCTGCACTTTGTCTACTTGTGGGTCTCTGTGTTACTCAACATCTACTGCAAATAGAATTTGCTTAGATAAGGATTGAGAGATGACTTGATCTATGAGTATAATGATAAGTCATTATGAGTCAGTTCAATACTATGTTCATTTAGATTCTCCTCTAGAGTCTATGACTTGTCTAGTTATAGGTTCTTAGCCCAACAATGGCATCAGGTATGGGTTTCATCTTGTGGAACAAAACTTAATCCAATCAGAAAGTGAGGTGGTTGGTTACTCCCATGACGTTCATGTCTCTATTGTACCGGTGGGTATGTCTTATCAGGTCAGTCATTATTGTAACTCACAGGATTCACAGCTGGCAGTGGGAATTTCTTATCCCTTCTCTGGTTTTCTTTCTTTCCTTCTCCAAATTGCTGCCTTTACAGACTACCAGTGAGTCTTCCTCCCTGGCTCCCACTTATAAACCTACACCCCACAAGATAGAAAGATCTTGCAGTTCTTTAGGATTATACTCTGAAAGCTCTGAACTTGATGGTGCTGGTTGTTGGAAGCATCCTCCTGCACTGGATGATCATCCCACATGTTAGCTGTGCTCCTTTACCACCCTTCATCCTTCTCAGCACCCATTCTTACCTGTAGTCTTTATTTTTCTATCCCTGCTAGAAAACCTCTCGGATTAAGATTAAAAAAAAATCTTTCAAAATGAATTTTTCCATTCTCATGGATAATGTCAAGATTCTTTTCTTAGAACCAGTATTCTGAAATTTCATGAAGACTTCAGTAAACATGAACTATGAAAACTGCATTGTTCTGTGTACTCAGTATGTCCTTTCTACTCGAAAATTAATAGTTTGGAAAATATCTTGCACGATTCCTGTTGTAACTTACACCCTACATTTTGCTTTCATTCTAGAACCTTCTGTTAGTCACCAGTTGCTTCTTTTATATGATTCTCTAATTTTATAATCTTTTGGGATGCTTTTCTGAGACATTTCCTTAACTTTATTTAAAGCACCTTTAAGATTTTTCATCTATTTAATTTCTTCCTAGGAGGATCTTCCTGGGCTCTGTAGGTATTCATTGAAAATAGCTTCTTGTGCATCTATTACCTCATCACAAAGCAGTCCTTTTTTTTAAAAAAAAAACTTTGAATGATTATTTTTGTTTGCTTTTTTTGAGGCAGGGTTTCTCTGTGTAATAGCCTTGGCTTTCCCAGAACTCACTTTGTAGACCAGGCTGGCCTCAAATCCACAGAGATCCACCTGCTTTTGCCTCCCGAGTGCTGGGATTAAAGGCATGTGCCACCACTGCCCAGGTTGAAACATGATTTTATATTTATTTTTGTTGAGTTCTTTTTTCTGTGTGGGACATTTTTTTTTTGCAGATTTTTTATTTGAGTTAGAAACAAGATTGTTTTACATGACAATCCCAGTTCCCTTCTCTCTCCTGTCCTCCCCTACCATGCCCCCCCCACCAACCCTACCTATCACATATTGTTTCTGCTCCCCCTGGAGGGTGAGGCCTTCCATAGGGTGTCATCAGAGTCTTTTGTATCCTTTGGGATAGGGCCTAGGCCCACTCCCATGTGTCTTGGCTCAGGGAGTATTCCTCTATGTGGAATGAGCTCCCAAAGTCCATACCTATGCTAGGGATAAGTATTTGAACTACTACAGGAGGTCCCATAGATTTCCAAGGTTTCCTCACTGAAACCCACGTCCTGGGGTCTGGATCAGTCCCATGCTGGTATCCCAGTTATCAGTCTGGGGAGCAAGAGTTCCCTGATGTTCAGGTCAGCTGTTTCTCTGGTTTTCACCAGCCTGGTCTAGACCCTTTTGCTCTTCACTCATCCTTTTCTGCATCTGGATTCCTGTTCAGTTCAGTGATAAGTTGTGGGTGTCTGCTTCTACTTCCACCAGCTGCTGGATGAGGGCTATCAGGTGGCATATAAGTCAGACATCAATCTCATTATCAGGGGAGGGCATTTAAAGTAGCCTCTCCTCTGTTGCTTAGATTATTAGCTGGTGTCATCTTTGTAGATCTCCAGACATTTCCTTAGTGCCTGATTTCTCTGTAAACCTAAAATGTCTCCCTCTATTATGGTATCTCTATTCTTGTTATCTTCTATTCTTCGCCTGACTCAACCTTTCTGCTCCCTCATGTCCTCTGCATCCCTCCTCTTCTCCCCTTCTCATTCCCCTAGCTTCCTCCCCCTCTTCCCGTGCTCCCAATTTGCTCAGGGGACCTTGATGCTTTCCCCTTCTCCAGGGGACCATGTATCATGTTGTCTCTCTTACTACCTGTCCGTTTTCAGTTCTATCTCTTACATCCTCAGACATTCGTTCTCTAATTCATGGGTCTTATTAAGAGTTACATGGAGAATCTGTTGAGACATTCTGTTTCTGCTCTGCCAGATTGAAACTCTTTGTCCACTTACATTCCTACTTGTAGATGTTAGTAGCTGCCATCCACTGCTCCTTTCTTTTCCATCCATTTAATCTGAAGGCTCAACAACATTCTGTTTTCTCTTGTCATTTTACAGACCTTTGGGGGATGATTGGAGAGGAAGGCATATGTCTGATCTTCCAATTAAAAGTCCTCCAGGGGCAATGTCTTAAGAATTGGAAGGTGATACTTTCCCAATTTCTTGTTATTGGGATGACCAAGGGGAGAATGGATGTCTATTTGTCTTGACTGCTTTTATCTGACCTTTGGAAAGGACAGTTGTCTTTTAGAGCAAGGGAGTCACACTCAATTGGAGACCATATGGTGCAATGGAGAAACCTAAAAGGAGCCCAAGTTAGTGAGAGAAATAGACAAAAGTAGAGAAAAGTTCCAGGAAAGGCTTGTGTTCACAGACAGCTCATGACATGAATTGGGACATGAAAGATGAATGCAATTAATAGGCAGAAGCATCGAGATATGTATTCAGATATTTCTCCTTATAGTACTTCAGTCACAATCAGACTAGCAAATCTTTCTACAAGAGACTTTAAATTATGAAGCCTTTGATTATTCAGCAATGTTAACATCAGATGGAAAGTTGGTTAGGTAACAAGGGGACAGATAAATGATAAATATACTGAGGTATTCAGTGTATTTAGTAGACTATGGACATTTGACTCTCTCCCCCCTCTTTTTTTTTTTTTTTGCTTGTGCTATGTATGCTATACACAGATAATTGCCTACATCCTTGTTACTAACTGTCTGGTTCCTGGAACAGCAGCAGCAGCTGGCATCTCATTAGCAATGCAGATCATAGCCCCACCTCAGACCTGCAGAATAGTCAAAATGTGCATTTTAAAATGTCCAAGGGACATGTAAGCGTACAAACATTTGGAAATCACCAAATAGCAACAGGAGAAAAACAAACCATAGCAAAACACCCTGCAGCTGTGCGTTCATCTTTAGATTTTACATCACTTATCTCTTTATCCTCCTTTAAGCTGGCAACAAAAATGAAACAAAGACAGTAAGAATCTGGTATGAGGGAGACATGACATGGTTTAGTGAATAGATTTGGCTACTGTACATTTTAGAGTGAAGTTTTACCTTGTAGACCAAGCAGTGGTGGAGTGTGATTTGATGATATGGGTGTCTCAGAAGCAGCTGAGAACAAATATTGCATCTGGCAGATTTAATTGAGCCAGTTTACTTTACTAGTATCTTATCAGGATGACCTAGGATGATGTATATAAGGTACCTGGCAAGAACTGAAGATGTAATAGAAGCCACTTTCTTTTCTCTCTAGTGAAATGAGCATCCAGATTGAACTTCTTCACAAACAATGGCAGAGGAGTTGACTGTGGAGAATTTTATTTTATTTTTTCTTGCTTAAACATTTCTGTTTTACTTCTTGATTTTCTGATAGCATCATCCCTCTTCTTATGCAATATCACACACCTCTGACTTAATTTGCTGGAGTGTTTCCATCTTTCCCCCACAGACATGTAGTTATTTTAGTGGGAACTTGATGAGGCGTAATGAGTGTGTCTTATGCAATTTTACTTGAGAAATAGATGCTAAAGAGGTTAAATTGCTTGCTTCAAGTTAGAAATATTTTTGTTTGGAAAAACCCATAACAAAATAAAACACATTTGAAATATATAAATTTGCATATACCCATAAAGCATCTTCATCACACCCAATCTCTCAATTTCTTTTCTGACCCATGAATAATTCACAGGTGTATTATTTCATTTTCAAAACATTGGATTTTCAGTTATATTTTTGTTACTAATTTCTAATTAATTCTCTTTTAGTCTGTGAACACCCCTTATACCACCAGTCTTGTTAATTTGTTTGTGTGTGTGTGTGTGTGTGTGTGTGTGTGTGTGTGTGTGTGTGTGTAGTTTGTTTGAGGTTTTGGTAATTGTCTCATGTGCCCAGGAAGGGAATCAGCATTGTTTTGGCACTGGGTGGAATGGTTCTTGAGCAACAGGTAGATTACATTGTTAGAATTATGCAAATTCTCCATTTTTGCAGATATTGTCTCTATGTCTATTATATCTCAGAGCACAACATGAATTAGCCTATTTCACTTTGTGCTTTGCTTTTATTTCCTGTGTTTTGGAACTCTATTGCCAAATGTGTACTTGTTTAGAATTATTACGTATTTTTTGATGACTTGGTGCCTTTAACATCATAAAATGATAACGTTTTCACCTGAATTCTACATTTTTTGATAGTTTTCTTTTTGTTAATTAATATAGAGGGTCATATATCTTTTCTTTTTGTCCTTATCTTTTAAATATATTTCTTACATATAGTGTATGGTAAGTTTCTTATTTTATCTATTCTGACAAGCTTTGCTTTTTAACTGAATTGTGTAAATTATAGAGTATAAAATGAATAACACAAACCATGTTGTGTGGTTCCTGTTCGGAATCATTCCATCATGTCCATCCATTTTGACCAATTATTTTTCTCATCATATTTCATTCTCTGTATGTCTGGAATTTTTGGTTGGATGCCAAATACAGATTTGATCTTTATTCTGTGCTATTAATTTTTTTATTCTAATGGTTATTCTTGAAAGAAATTAATAGAGCTTAGTCCTTTAAGGCCCTAGGTGTCCAGCCTTCACAACTCTCCAATGTGGGGATTCAAACACTGGGCTTTGTACATGCCACTGAGCTACACTCCTAGCCATAGGATTGCTTTAAAGTCACTGTGTTGAACCTGTGACTCATGAGCAGCTTGCATCTCAGGAGAGCTGTGACTATGACCTAATATGTTTGTAGATGATAATGTCATATTGCAATGTCAAGAGATGATTTAATAATGTTACTCAGCTCAGTCATCTCTAGAGATTACCTGTAACTCTGAAAATCCTTTTTGCTTACTGTACTTGATAATTTATGAATTGTAAAATGTTCCAATACAACTGTGAGCAAGAGTATATTCTTGTTATTGTATGACCACTAAACAAACCTCTTAGTTGTTTTTGGCTTGAAGATTCCCAATCTGAAGCAGTGTCCTTACATGCATAATTAGTTCTCATCTGGACACTAGAAGGACATATACTCTTTGAAGAGTGCTCCCTGGCATTCTTTTTTTCAGACTCTAAGCTTCATCCCAACATAGCATGTCCAATGAATTCCAGACCACATCCCCCTTGTACTTGGTCCCAGTGTCTCTCTAAAGCAGTGAGTGGGGATAATACAGGTCTCCTCTTGCATGGAAGACAGAGTGTCTTCTGTGCATCAATCTTCTTCATTGCCCAGTGGCTGATTGCTTCATCATGACTGGAAACAGATATCAAACCACAAATTCCCAAAATTCCCCAACCCCCCTTTGTCAATTTTTCAGACAGACTAGGTAATATGCTGTATATTTAGCTTGGCTATTGTACTCAGATTGTTGATGTTTCTTTTTAGCTTTCTCTGAGGACTTTCCTTGTTATACACAAAATATGGATTGGAAAGCCATTATTGATAATTATTTTGTATTTTTCAATAACATTTTGAAGTCTCCAATAACTTCCATAGCCAGGTAAGTTTTAGAAGACAACATCCAGATATTATCTGTCATAAGCAAATGCCAATCATAGGCTAGGCATTATTTGATGGTTATGAGCTCAGTTTAAACAGAGACAGAGTGTTTCATATCAGGCATCTAGTGACCATTTGTCTATCAGGTATGTGAACACAGGAATAGGATTTTCCTAAGCAGTAGCATGAGTTATAATAGAGGATCTAGGAATATAGCATTTATTTAAGAACAGCCTGACATTGCTTGGCACTTCTACACAGGGTCAATGATTCCAGTTGTAGTAGTTGCAGTAACTTTGGGGGAGGTATTTGAAAGTAAATATGCCAGGATATTTCCTGCTTTGAAATTTTATGATTTGAGATGGTGTTTTAATATAAGATCACAGATATTTGCAATGTTTGAAGCACTCATGTTTGTAAACTGTGCTGGGGTTGGATTGGGCAGAACCTTACATACAATAGAAGAACTCAGAGTCAAAAGGGGAACAAGCTAAAGCTGTGAGTGTTGAACCTCACTCCAACATGCTAAATCCTGCAACTAGGGCCCAGATTTCTGTGTGTTTACAAATTTCATGAGAAGTTCTTTCATGTACCAACGTTTCAAAGCCATTCAGCTATCTCTCCCTAGACCTGAATTTCCTCAAACTTTGGAAGCTTTCCTCATGGGCACAGAAGGAAAGACAACAGGATGACCTCTGCAAAATCAGCCCCTGTTCATTCTATGTCCTGAACATCTCAATTATTTAACAGCTCTAACAAGAGCAACGAAAGTAATCTGAATGTGCTCTAAGGATGTATTTTAATCTTATATCTATGAACTCACTGGAGCTAGCATAGAATTGTTAAAGGAAGAGGATAGTTAGTTAATTCGGTGTTGATTTAATGGATGAAAATATTAGAGATTAGTTACAAATGATGCCAAGGAAACTGCATTCAGCATAAAGAAACCTAGGCTTTGTTCCTGCTGTATGTTAACAGCGAAGCTTTGTTAAACAAAATAATTTTTTCATAAGATCAAAGTATTGACATGTCCTTCAACATACTGTCAAAAGGGTTGAGGTCAGACTATAGCTGTGGGAGTACGTCACAGATCCTACAGTGCTGGATCTTTGTGGCAACAGTACTCATGGCATGCGACTTCTACTTTGCTTGTTAAATGTACTCTACTCCCCACCTGCATTAGTCATTTGCCTTAATGTGGTGACAAAATACCTGATGATGGAAGACAGACTTGTTTTAGCTTAGGGTCTCAGGGGATTTCAGTCTGTCAGAGTAGAGAAGGCATGATGGTGGAAGCAGCTATTTGTGCAAGAAAGAATGTGAGCAGGGGTGGGCCTAGGCCCTATCCCAAAGGATACGATAGACTCTGATGACACCCTATGGAAGGCCTCACCCTCCAGGGGGAGCAGAAAGGATATGTGATAGGTAGGGTTTTAGTTGTGTGTGTGTGTGGGGGGGGGCGGGGGTAGTAGGGGAGGGCAGGAGGGAGAAGGAACTGGGATTGTCATGTAAAACAATCCTGTTTCTAATTCAAATAAAAAAAATCTGCAAAAATATTATATACATATTTCTCACAAGATTTATAGAAAATGTTAGCATGCAATTTTATTTTCAGAAGACAAATGAGTAAGGATAAAATAAAGTTCTTCGGATAAACACAGCTTGGAGCAAGAAAAAGAGAAGTTCAGCCTGTGATACACAGAATATGACCTTGGGACTCTAGCAGTGGATTTGAGTTCTTGTTCTGCTTTTTATATGTAACATGATTTTTATATAATTTATTTTCTCCAAATCTCTAGCTCCATTTTGTAAAATAGAATAAATGGTGTCTATTTTCAGGAAAAAAAGAGAAAGAGGCAGCTGGTCACGTTGCAGCAGGAAAAGTTTCTGCTGCATCCCACTGCTTGCTTGATCTATCTCTATAGCCCATGACCTTTTTAAAGGAAATATGAAAACATTCATCAAGCACAAATGGCAGATTTGTGCTTAACAGTCATACATATTGGGGCTGGAGAGATGGCTCAGTGGTCCTGAGTTCAAGTTCTAGCAACCACAGGATGGCTTACAACCATCTATAATGAGGTCTGGTGCCCTCTTCTGGCCTGCAGGAATACATGCAGACAGAACGCTGTATACGTAATAAATAAAATGTTACTTGGTAAACAAAACAAAAACAAAAACAAAACAAAACCAGTCATACATATTGATTCACAGGGCAATGTGATTTAAAATGTATTCTTTCTGATAATAGGGAGCATATTTTAAGTTAAATAGATGCAGCCATGTTGTGATTTCTAACATAATAATAGATGCTTACATTAGCTTGACATGAAATAAAAAAAAACGTGTTGTCTAGAAAATGTTTCGTTTTGGTCACTATAAATGATCACTGTCTTAGGAGATTGAGATGTTGAATTAATTTTTCTTTCTGATAATAAAACAATTCTGTCTGTATTATAGGGTCTTAAATTTCACAAAGCACCTTTTAGTGGTGGACAAGAAGATGCATGCCCTTGAAAACGGACAGATGAGCATTCTTTTGTCACTTGTGGAGTTTCTGGAGGAATTTTTGTTATTTGATCCTTCTGGCTCACTCACTACTCCTGAATTTCATAATCTCTCTTCTCTCAGTGAGCTTTTATTGAATAGAAGCATTCCATGGATAAATCATTTAAAAAGTTTAGAGAGAGACCCACATGATGGTGATGCTCAGAACCTTCTGGAAATTCAGAAACTGGTTATTGAAAAAATTCAAAATATTAAAAATCATTGGATGAGAAGGGAATCCAAAATTTTGAGATTCATTGAATTAATACTTCTTGAAATTAATCCAGAGCTGCCAGGATTCTGGCTCAATGGCACTTCACAAGAAGGAAGAGCTAAATTTAAAATCTCATCCACATTTGGAAATTTTTCTGTTCCAGAATATGGAAAAATTCTTAGCAGAAGCTTTAATTTCTCCCAGTTTTTCCATTCTGATTGGTTCAAATCACGAGCTGTGAACACAGACTTTATACATTTAAGCAGGACTATGATACACGGTCTCTATGAATTTAGCTTTCTGACACAGGAACAAGTCTCAATAGCTCTGGACACCATCTATGCTCTTCAGAACGTGTCTGAGATTTTCTCAGCCCTTTCTGAACCCCAGAAACAAGAACTGGATGACATTTTGACTCATATAAATGTCTTCCAAGACAGAGATGCAGCTCTCCTTCTGAAGACCTATTCTTCACTGTATCAATATTTTCATAAATTCTTGAACATTCAGAACAGAGAGTCCCAGATAAATTATCTTACTCACATCTCTAGACACATTTTGGATCTCATAAAGCAGTTTAATATCCAAAACATCAGTAAAGCACTTTTGCTTTTATCGGAGACAACAGAGGCTCTTGGGACAATACCAGAAATATCTTACTGTCAGCAATTGCTTTCAATTTTAAATTTTTTAGAGCTTCAAGCCCAGTCTCTGATGTCTACTGAGGGCCTGGAACCAGGAGTGATTCATGCTAGCTTGACAGGCCTCAAGCAGCTGTTTGCAGCAGATGAAGGCTTTCGTGTTTCTTTACTTCAGTATGTCAATCAGTTCTTCAATGGTTCAGCAGGGACCCTACTGCCGAGTGAATGTATCATTCTGGAAAATGCAACCATTTCTTCTGTGAATTACTCAGGAAATGAGGGAGCTTCACTCCCTTTCCTGTGGACACAATTGTTTTCAAACCTCTCAGTAAATGGCAGTGTGATCAGTGAATTCATGGCCATTCACTGCACCCTTTCATGGATTCAGACATGGACTGAGATCTGGGGAAACATTTCTCAAATATTTAAACTTGACCTGAATATTTTCACTTCTCTTCATGTTGGTATCACTCAGCTTTTGGATGAACTGGAAAATGATGGGAACATTTCTAAAAACTGCCAAGGAATAGTTCCCACTTATCATACTGCTAGACTCATATTAAATTTATTTAAAAATATAACCCAGGAGAATGGCTTTCATGACTGGGATGGCCTCCAGGACCTCAGGGATCTTTGGGTCTCATTAGGTAATGAATTAGTTGCAGTGCAATCACTTAACCTGGACCAAGCAGAGAAATCTTTTGTCACCATGGAAACCTCTCTGCGCCAGCTGAAGACATTTTCAATAAAAACAAATGCAAGCGGGGCGTTTTTATATCCCCTCTTTGATGTTTTCATTGAGTTGAGCAAAGCCTCAGACTTTGTGGATAGAAATGTAGATCTGATCAATAACTTTCTTTCCAGTGATCTCTCAGAACATAAAGGCAAATTTGCAAGTGGCATCACTAAAATGAGAGAAACAATATTACTTCTTAGGAATGTGTCCCAGGACAGAAGTTTATTGTCATGTGCTGATGTTTTACAGAGTGTCACTGAGTTGACTTCCAAAGATAATCTATTACCTGTGAACACTTCTAAGAAGCCAGCACATATTCTGGCCATGTTAAGTTCCATATTTTCATTGAAGAACACGAGTACCAGCCTGGAAGGGTGTATGGCATGGGCAGATGTCATAAACCGTCTGTGTATGATGTTTAACTCAAGTTCCTCACCCAGCCATTTTCACGGCACTTTGAGAAGTTTTAAGGATATAGAAAACAAAATGAACTCTGCATTGAAAATTCTAACTTGGGCACTAAATAAGAAGATACCTATTTGCCCATTAAATGAGTCACATATAAATTGTGTGACTATTTACCTGAAAGACATAACTGAATTTCTAAATATTATAGTTACTACAGGCTTAGGAAAAGAGAAGGTCCATGAATTTGAGAGCTTATTAGCTCTCTTCAATAATTTTACAAAACAGGTAAATATGATCATCATCAATTTAACAAGAGACTTTGATTTTGCCTCCCAATCAGATTGGAAGCACATCAAGGACTTATTTCTGAGACCCGGAGGAATGTCAGATGACATTACTGATTGGTTTCAGAATATTTGGCAGCACATCATAGCATTGGGGAACGAAATGCAGAAACTTTTTAAAGGTATTTTCCATAGTGTCCTAGGAAATAATTCCTCTTCTGACACTGAAGCAGTGTTTAGTGTATTCTCTACAAGTCCAAAGGAAAGAGATATAAGCCGTTTAGGCAATTCCATTTACCACTTAGCTAATTACTTTGCTCTCAACTTAACTCATGATCTTCAGAATTCATCCGAAATAGTCCCGAATGAAATACTGAAAGCTGTGGTTCTCGGTATTCAACTGACACGGGATGTGTTCAACTCCTTAATGCCTGCAATCCATTTCAATATTCCACAAAGTTCAGATCATGCTCAAGTTTTAAAGAAAATGACATCTCTCATGCATTCTCTCAAGAAGGCAGACATAGAACTCTTAGTAGGACAGCTGGGTCAAATTGGTGAAAACTTAATGAGTTTCTTTAAGAATCTCAGCAGGTCAGGGGTCGACAATTTAGGGGTCCATGTGCTTGTTGGCTTAGTGAAAACGTTTGTAGACAGCTCACATTCATGGAACGTTAATCACCTGCTGCGCTTCTCCCGTCTGCTTCCCAAAGAAGTGGTGAACACTGTGCTGGATGTATATTATGCTCTTCCCCATATTGTGGGGCTCCTGCAGAGGGTCACAGAGAAAAACATTACAGAGAGCCTCAGGGACATCTATAACTTCACACTTCTTCATGGAATAACCATGTTCAATACCACCAAGGAAGACTTTGCTGATGTGATTAAAACTCTTTTGGATACAGTTGAGTTAGTATCTGATGAGCCAGCTGTTATTTCTGAGGCTTTAATGTGCCTTCCTAGGGTTTGGTGCTTGAACCACACAACTTCTAGGCTTGAGAAAAACCCTGAGGTAGAACATTGCAATGTCCAGGGGCACATGTCTTCTTCCTTTTACCACATGGTGACCAGTATACTGGATCTTCTTCATCTGCCACACCCAACTGATTCCCAGTGCATAAATGAAAACTCTGGAGTAGAAATAACCAGAAAAGTGGTCTGTGTGACGCATGAGTTTGCAGACTGGAGTTCCATTCTCTCGGAGCTGTTGGAAATTTTCCATGTTAAAAATGTACTCGTGAAATCTCTGCAGGGACTTTGGCATAAGGTGTTGCCCTTCATGTCACCTTCTGGGAATCAAGTCAATGGCAGTATCCCAGAACTCTGTCCTAGTAGTACCATAAAGCAAGGTGCTTTGCAAGTCATAGAAAAACTAAAATATGCAAATTTTACCAAATTTCTACTTCATGAAAACATTCTGAACAAGCTAGGTAACTTAGACAAGATCCTTAACATTACTGAAGACATAGAGATATCTGCCCAAAATAACGGTTTCTTAAACTTGGAAAGGATCTTCAAATTGATTTCTGCTGTTTGGACTTTAAGAAACAGTACTTACTATCTACTCTCAGAAATTACAAACTTTCTGAATGTAAATCATACAGATAGGCACCCAGACTCACTATCAAGTTTAATTAAAAATGATACATCAACTTACAACTTTGAAGAACTGTGGTTTGACTTTAAGCAAAACACCAAAGACCCTACCAATAACTCGAGTCTAGGACAATTACTTTCTGATATTAACAAGAAGATCCAAATCATAGCTCTTCAAAACACAACTGTTCAACTTCCTCAGCTTCTGGAAATCCTGGGTTTATCACCATTGAAGATGTCAGAAATAACTGAAGGCTTTTCATTTCTCCTAAAACATTGGCTCCATGAGTATGAAAATGAAGATTACTTTAGGTTGATTCAAAGACTACTAAATGCCATGGCCAGTGGGAATTCAACTGATGTAACTAGGTTGGCCAGGGATCTTACTACATATTTGGGCTATCTCAGAAACAGTAGTGAAGGCAATTTGGATGTTGGCATTCTCACTCATATGTTAAATCAAGAGCAGCTAACTGGCTTCTCAACTCTTCAGTTGCTTCTTGAAAGCATTGTGATGAATTTAGTTAGTTACTTTGTTGAGAATTCTCAGGAACCAGCTCTGAGTTTCAATGGATTTCAAATAATGGATTTCATGACTCTTGTCTTGAATCACACACAGTCCAAAAATGGTGGAGAAACTGCAGGAAGCACAGAGGGTTTCCTGAAGCAGCTTTTGGAGACATTCTTCTCTTTGCTAAATGGAATGCCTGAAAATAAAATATCACTTCTGCTAAAAGACTTGCATAGGGATTTCATTGCAGAGATGAGGTGAGTGCATTTTGGTTTCATATAGTCATCCTGGTAGTACATCCCAGCTGGCTCACTTTCTGGAGTAGAGAGATGACTATCATAGCTCTTGTACTGGAGTTTGCAATGGCCTTTAAAGTGATTATTGTCACAATGAGTGTTTTATGGCTGAAATAAGGTAACACAATTTCAATTTTCACTTAACCTGTAAACATTCAAATCCAGCCTCTGTTCATCACGTATGTATTGTTTGTTCAATTAGATCATCAAGACAAGAAATTGTTTCCTACATAGAGTGAAAAATTTATTTTGAATGGCTTTACATGTACATATTAGATGGTCACTATTTCAATTATGGTATTACCTGTCTTATCATAAATACAGGATTGAGTATTTCTTTCCAATTAACCTAATATTTGCATATGGATCCATTAAAATAGTCATATTATCTCTATTCACAATCTTCTAAAATCTCAACATTACCAGTGGAAGTTCTAAAGAGAAATTCCCATTTACTCTATGTCATATGATTGGGGAGACACTCAGGGAGCAAGCAGTACAGCAAACATGCAGTGCAGGAAGTTGATTCCTGTGGCTTTGGAGATAAGCACATGCAACCTCAGAGGGGCAGGGTGCAGGAAGGGACAAACAGAGCAGCAGGAATGCCAGGTGTATCATGAGCTAACATTTGCAGTCCAAAGAGGCAGTTAACAAGGGGGGTCCACAGGGCAAAAGCTGACTGACTAGCTGCTACTGGGGTCTCTAGGTTAGAGGACCTCAGAGACTCTTATACAGCCTTCTCACCAACTGGCTGGCTTGTTTAAGACTGTTTGCCTTCTGAATATCCTGAAATTAACTTATTAGGTACTTTAAACATTTACTTGAATAAGAGCCCTTCTCTGCAGGATCTTAGTTTAGTTTTGGAATCTGTAGCTGGGGTGAGCCATGCTTGTGTTACAAAATGGCCACTATCTCCCATCCAGTGCTGTCAAGGGACTCTCCCCTGGAGTGTAGCTGGGGTGAGTCATGCTTGTGTTACAAAATGCCACTATCTCCCATCCAGTGCTGTCAAGGGAGTCTCCCCTGGAGTCTGCCCAGCTCAGAAAATTTTAGGAAAGGGCATGTTGGAGCTAGTGTTCAGCCTCGTCTAAGAGACATATCATAGGCATCACAGATTGACCAAGCAATCTGCTAGTACTTTTCATATTCAGAACAAATTATAAATACACTTTCCACTTTTTCAGATGATAACTGCTTATCAAGAATCATTTTCTAGGGAGACTGCTATTTCTCATCTTCCTGTTATCCCCCACTCCCTGCAACAAATCCTTTCTTTCTTCCAACAAGTCCCCTTCTTTTTATACCTTTAGTGTGTTTGTGACTTGCTGCATTTATCTGGGGTTGGTGACATGAGAATGGATGGCAATTACTGACAAATGAAAATGTTTCTGTAGCCTAAATACAGAACAGTTCTGGTGTAGAAAATAGCACATACACAATGTCAACTATAAAATTTTTGGGGAATTTTGCCTTAATCTTCATTCTGATCAGAGTGTGAGGCTCCCTGTGGCTCTACAGCCTTGTCATGCCTGGTACTGTTCATGTGAACTGAGATCTGTGAACCTGGTGAGACTATGGCAGAATTTCATTGTTGTTTTAAACATCATTTTCTTAAAGTTGAGAACCTCAGAATGTATTCTTTGGTCCAATAAGATTTTTATTCTTTGAGAATGGCCTTCTTTTTCTTCTTTAAGTTCTCTTTAGGTTTTGTGGGTCCCAATTTGTCTTTGATAGTTTTTTTATATTCTTGATACTAGTTGTTTATCAGTTAAATCAGATATATATCTATCAATTAGATAATTAATAGATATATATCCTTCAATTATCTAATTGGTTCCTCCCCTTTCTTTGTGGTTTTTATTGTTGAAGAACATTATAAAATTTAATGTAGTCAATTTATCTGTATTTTGCTTATTTGTAAAGCTTAATAATCTTATTACAGAAGTAAAAAAGAGAACCACTGTATAGTCTTTCTAGATCTCGTTTCTTTTTTTTTTTTTGCCATCCACCCACCACTCCCCAGGCAGGGTAGGGGCCTCAATGGGGGCTCAGCAAAGTCCACCAAATCTTTCTGTGCTGGTCCTGGGCCCTTCCACATGTGTCCAGGGCCAGAGTGTAACCGTTCATCCCACCTGTGGGATGGGCTCTCAAAGTCCCTTCTTGTACCAGGGAAAAATACTAATCCACCATCAGAGGCTCCCTGGAGTGCAGAGGCCTCCTTATTGACATCCATGTTCAGGGGTCTGGATCAGTCTTGTACTGGCCTCCCCGACAGCATCTGGGGTCGATGTGCTCTCCCTTGTTCAGGCCAATTGTGCCTGTGGGTTTCTCCAATCTGGTACAGACCCCATTCACTCTTCATTCCTACCTCTCTTCAACTAAATTCCCGATTTCAGCTCAGTGTGTATCTGTGGATGTCTGTCTCTGCTTCCATCAGCTACTGGATGAGGGCTCTCGTTGTGATCAGTTGGCCTAGATCTCATTTCTAAGAGCAAAAAGTGAGGCTTTTGAGATTGTTGCATTCAAAGGATTGTCACAATACTGATTATGAAATTCCTTCACTGCCTTCGTTATTTGATAGCAAGGTGTCAGGCTTCGTCTGGAGTTATTTTAGAATCTCAACTCTTCACTCAATATCATCATTCTATGATACTATTGTAAAACAAATGAAATCATGATATCACCATGTTTTAATTTTTCCATTACTAATTTATGAAACATGAAATTAAAAATACATGTATTTTTCAGTTTTGTCCCCAGAGATAAAATTCTTGAAATTCTGAAACTGGATCCATTCCTTACCTGGGTGAATGAGGACCAATTGATGAACATTTTCTCAAGTTTTACGTCTGTGTATTATCTGATTAAGAACATATTTTCATTAGACAACAGAGAACTCTCTGGAGTCCTGAAAGGTTTAACTTACATCCATCCAAGGGAGCCCATGGTGAACACTGACGCTGAAGACCACTTGGATTTCTTTACCGTAGTGACTCAGTTTCTTTCCCAGGTCAATAATTCTGAGGACCTGTCCAAATTCAACCAAAATCTCAGGTCTGTTCTCCACCTTGTAAGAGAAAGTTCTGCAGAAATGGCTAATATCAGGGATATTCTCTTACACTCACCTACTCAGGCCTGCCACTCCTCCTCTTCTGTGCTCCAACACACTGCAATTGCTAAACTAACTGACTTGTTTTCTGTTGTAAATAGTTCATTCCCTCTAAGAAACAGAGATGCTCTAGAATCAACTATGAGGTTATTTGGTGCCATTTCCCGAGTTGGTGCAGAAAGTCATGTCCTGGAGCCTGCCTTAGAAATATCTAGAACTCTGACTATGCTGGTGAATAACACTGCTGAACTTGGTGGTCTTGCCTCATCAGTGGATTCCATGGTCAGATTTCTCAGTTTAGCTAAAAAGGTTTCAAGAAAGATGGCTATGATGTTGGGAGCTCTCTCCATCTCTAGTACAAAGGACTCTGGGAAATTCTTTGACACTTTGTATTCCTTCATGCTACAAAGTTTTCAATATCATGTGAAGCAAATAACTACTTTGAAAAAAGTAAAACCTTTCATATTTGAAAAGACAAAGGATTTGTTGGTGCCATTTCTTGACCTGGCCTTCTGGATGATTGGAGTCACACCTAATATATCACAGGACTCTGATGTTTTTAACATGTCATCTAGCATACTTTCATATGTCAACCAGTCCAAAGACTTTTCTGAGATTTTGGAAGAAATGACTGAAAATTTAACTTCTGCAAAAATTGGTTGGAGAGATTTGGAGCATCTTGTTGTGGTGATTAAAAACAGGACTCAAAATTTTTCTGCTGATGCTATTAACTTATGGGAAGAGATTCTAGACTGCTTAGTTCCTATAAGTAACATCACTACCCAAATGGACTTCTTGAAGTTTTATGAGCTTTCTCCTACCAATTGTCCTCAGGTCCTGAGTTACGAGGGAAGTCACAAAGCAATCCGATTTTTGGATGGAATGCTAATTGATAACAGCACAGAAAGAGAGACTTTCTCGAAAATGGTGATTGATCTCACCTTACAAGCTCTTTGGAATGGGTTAAAGGAAGATAACTGGGATATTTTTAATCTCCTGTTGACATTTGCCCAGCACCCAGATGACCTTTTAAAAACCATAGAATCAGTTGTAGAGGTCTCTAGTGGAATTAATAGTGACTATGGAGATGGTTTAAGCCAAGATTTATTTTCCAATTTGTCATTGCTTCAGAACACCACTCGCTATCAGCTTGCAAAGACAGTCTTGATTGGTCTCAGCAGAATGGTCCCCTCCAGGGAAGGGCGGCCTCCAAACAATGCTCAGTGGATACATTTCACACATACTTTGTTTCACCCACATAGCAACAGCTTTCCTAATTCAGCCACTGGTCAGAATGTTACATCAGGAAAGGATGGGAGGACCAAGGAAGAAATGATGGCACTTCCTCCTGGCTCCCAACCAACGTCATACTTCCAGAAATTCCTGAAGGCATTATTTGTATTGATTGGACACTGGCAGAGAGTCCCACAAGCTGATCAAAGGTATTATAATTCCTGTTTTGCTTAATTTATTCCTTACTGTAGAAATCTAGACAGACTCACATCAAACCAGAGTAAACAGTTTTTCTCTATTTCAGCTTCTGTCACACTCTAAAGCCAGCATTCATCCACACAGAATGGTCCAAGTCAACAATTTCTTCTCCAAGTTTGCCTCATTGTTTGGCATCCAAGTATGATTTGGATTTTTTTTTTAAATTTCTGAAAGTAAAAGCCTTGTACCCTATCCACTTGTTTCGGGACTGGATATATGTATAGTGTTTGGGAGGCTAGATTCATCATTGATTGCATTTGCGCGTGTATCACAGCAGTAGTACTACTTTGTGCCTCACTAATATGTATAGTCATCATATGCCAAGAAAAATAACATAATGAATTGTAAAACAGTGATGAGTCAGGTGTGGCAGTGTACACCTGTAATCACAGCAGCCATGAGTACCACTATTGGCTATATAGTCATGAATGTGAACTATCCAGTTCAGTTACAAGATTGTGCTTGCAGCTGTAACTAACCATAGGATAAAAACTGGGAGCTAAGGACTCCTGCCCTCCTGAAACACAGCTCTGAATGATGTTTGCCTCTAAACCCGCCTATTCCCAAATGTTAGGACAAAAGACTGGCATTGAATTTACAATCCTGAACCAGCCTCCAAAGTGCTAGGATTACAGGTATGTGCCATCAAGCCCTGCTGAAAACTTGTTCTTAAAAGCTCCAGTGTCACTAAATTTAGTTTTGGCATTAGCCTGCTGTGGCCCTTGCCTGTTCATGTTTCTCTCAGCCCCATGTGGCGACTTAGAGATGTTGTGTAAACAGTTTTCATTTGCTACCAGACAGGCTGACCCACTTCCTGTTAGTTCTGCTGCCACAGAACTGTACTCTGAACACGATCATCTTTTTTTTTTATGGCTAGGAAAGATGTCTTTGCTTGGTGGAACAGATGTCTCATTATTTCAAAATTTAAATGCTGGCTTCCAAAGCCTCCTGTTTCATCTACTCATTGTCTGTGATCCTTAAACTATAGTACATGAGTGTAGTGTTCTTGTTCTGCTTGGGATTTGCTTTCCAACTGGAGGTAATCCTGACCACCTCTGTTCTGTAATCTCAGCTTTCACCTGAGATTTTCAGTTCTCCACCATACATCTATATATCCTCTTTCTCCCTCCCTCCTTCTCTTCCTCCCTCTCTCCACTTCTCTTTTACATAGGCAGTTGCTACACAGCCCAGGAAGCCATGATCTAGAGAGTCAGTCTGCTGAGTGCTGAGATTGTGGGTGTGCACCTCAACATCCATATGACGTAATGTGTTTAAAATACTATTTTAATTTTGATTGAGTTATATTTATGGGGAACAAAGTAATACATGTGTTATATATAAATGATCAAGATCTAGCCTCTAAACATTGAAACATGTTTTTCTAGCTGTTTTGAGATTCACAAGGTGTTGATGTTAACTGTATCCATCTCACTATACCATAGAACACAACACTGTTGGCTCCTGACTGGGACTTGCTCTTCTCCATAATCATCACCCCAGCCTCTAGAAGCCACCGTCCTACTCTCAACTTCTATGAAATCAGCTTCTTTACATTCCACATGAATGGTGACATATGATATTTGTCATTTTGTCCCTGACTTATTTCACTTAACACTACCACCTCTATCTGCTACACTAAGAACAGGCTTTATCCTTTCTATGGTTGTCATATTATATCTGCTTCAATGCCCAACTCTTGCATCTCAATAGAATGGAGCAAGAAGAAAAAACAGACATCAAGGTTATAAGAAGAAAAGATCAAACTACAGTAGGAAGCAGGAAGCTTTCTGGAGGTCCAGCCTAGGGGCCTGCATCTTTTCTTTGTGCAAAATAAACAGAGTAGTGTGAAGAGACAGTTCTTACATGTGACTTAATCTTTTGCTGGGCAGCCATGCTTGGAGATTACACATTTATCCATTAACACCATGATCTGTTTTTCCTAAGTGTTTTGGAGATGTGTCAAGTTTTCCTGCAGCTGGAGAAGCCCTCGGAAGCTGTGGAGATGCTGCACAGAGTGGAGATGATGGCTTTGCATGTGCTCATCATCTTTGCAGGTGGGCTGCTTATGTAAGAAGCACTCATAATTGCCCTGTCCCAGTTATCACAGCTTGGCTGTTGGCGAGATGCATAGATTGACTCTGACTTTCTTTTAAAACAAAGCATAGGTTTCCTAGCTTAGCTATTAGGCCCAGAGTGGCCTGGCCCACCCTTTCCCACCTCAGTGTTCCCTGCTCTAGCCAAGCTAGATAGTACCTCCCCCCAGCCAAACCTGCACTCTCTGGTCCTCAGCTTCCCAAATTCTGGGGTTACAGTTTTATAACAAGATGCTCAGCCCATGTGTGCTGTTGTGAATGTGCTTTCTCTGATTGTAAGGGCTGTGTCAATAGAACCTGAGATGCTGGTCAGGCATTCTTTTATCGAATGGGTGAATGCCTGAATAGAAGCCAGGAGCCCTCAGATACTCCTGTTGCCTTCTGTGAAATCCCTAAGTGTGCAACCTGCTTGTGTGGGATGTTGCTGTCCATGAGTCCGCCTAAACATTTAATCTGTGGGATAATACTTAGCTTAAGTGACACTGGAAGGGCCATCTGCACACTCTCGACTCTTATTTGGTGTAAGTGTTGGCTGTGGGGTTGGGGAGGATGTCCCAAAGAGGAGTCAAGCTTGCCAAAGAAAGAGAATAAGAATACACACAAAAGTCCACCATCAGAGAGGAAGGGTCACTAGCCTCAGGGTAGACTGATTGGCCTGTGTGGGTGGCCATTGCTGGGATCCAGGTATATCGGAAAGTATGTGTCTGCAAGTGGAAGGAAGGGGAAATGAGACTTGGGTAGGAACTAGCCTTCTAATGTGAATGTTGATACTGGCCAGTGGTGTTAGCTGAAGGAGGATACTGTGGGTGAGAATGAAGGGTAAGAGAGAGAAGACCATGGGGAAGAAACCCCAAGTAGAGGCATGCCAGCTGAAACCTGAAGTTTGAAGGGGTGTGTCTATGTGTTAGCTGATGTGTTGCTCAGTGTCTAGAAAAACTCTGACATAGGCACGGTAGACATTCAACTAATGTTTCCAAAAGGACTGAATGGATTGCTGAGTGAATGCTAACTGTGGGATGGGCACACTGGGGTCAGGCTACTTAACTGATAAGTAAAGGTAATATAGTTCCATGTGCCATGAGGCATTATTGGCCATAGTATCTGCAGGCACAGAACTAAACTTGGCTTTGTTCGGTGACACCATGGCAACTGGTCTACTGGGAGGAGAGAGAGCCTGAGATCAAATCGGCTGAATTCAGGGCTTCATGCTAGCTGATAGACACAGGGTAGGCTACAGGATTTCTTTGAGCCTCAAAGAGGGTGAACTGACATCTATTTAAAAAAGTAGTTGCGAAGACTAAATAAGAGAGTGTAAACACGTGATCTTCTTGGGGCCTTGTTGGGGACATGTATGTGATGTACAACTCTGCTTCTCCTTCCCTGGTTCTAGGGCAGGCTGAGGTTGTGGCTCCCTGCCTGCAGCTGGGAAAGGCTACTGAGAGCTGGCTTTCAGGAGAGATGGGCCAGATGAGCTCTGGTCTACTCACTGCCCTCCTTATTGTAATAGGAATGTTTCTTTGAACCTAGGATTGAACCTTTTGGATCAAAATATTAATAAATGAGGAACAGGGGGCCAGAGTGAACACACGATGCAACTGAAACCTGAAGACTGTTGCATAGGGGAGTTCTATATCTCTATAGACTAAATTTTTATTTCCTACTGGATTTGTCTGTAAACATGGACTGTATTGCCAAACACCAAGTATTACATGTGAAAACACACAGCATGCTGCTCAATAAAAATCTCACCATGCAGAAGCATGCTTTGGGACATTAAATCATATCTTTTTCTGATTCTTTTTCTGGCACATAAAATTCAGCCATATTTGAAAGCACAATTATTTTGACATTTCACAGTTGGGTAAAGTAATGAATTTTCAATGAATGGAAACCCTTATTGGTACTTAGATTTCCAAGTATCTTGCCATTCTGTATCACAGATGCTAAATTAATATAACACATGATATTAGAAAATTAATTTTTAGTATTTATATTTCACTCAGAAGTGTTGTTGTTGAAAGTGCTGTCTCACTTTCCTCATTAGAGCAAACCCTGTTCTGTGAGTAGGAGATTGGGTGGAGCCAGAAGTTCTCAGTGAGGAAATCAGAGGTGCAATGGACCTGGACAGGCAGCTAGATCTTCCATCACATAAGGAGCCCAGCTGCTGGAGTTGTTAATGTCATTGTTGACACCGAGTTAACTTCAACACCATTTTTCTGTTCCTTCTGGTGTTAAATATGACAGCAGTGATCATATCAGAGCCTGTTAAGTTCATGGAAGAAGAAAATTGTCACTGGCATCCACTTTAATGTTTTCATATCACAAATTAATGTGCTGAGGAACAGAGAGCATGAGTCATGCTTGGAAAGAAGAGTTCAAAGCTGGGTGGAGAAAGGACTGAGTGGGCAGTACTTGCTGTGTAAGTACGAGGAGGATCTAAGCTCAGATCTCCAGCACCTATGTGAAAGATGGTTGTGTTGGGGGGATGCTTGTAATCCTAGCTCTGGAGAGGGGGCAGCAACAGTTGGATCTTGAGAGCTTTCTAGGAATAACTCTTCTCAGTTAGCTCTACATTCAGTGAAAGCCATTGTCCCAGAGGAAAAAAAGATGGAGAGGGATTAAAAAGGACACCCTGAATCCATCTGTCCCTCCATGTGAATCAGCATACATAAGAACACACACACACACACACACACACACACACACACACACACACACACACACACACACACACACACACTACACACCCTTACACATGCATATGTACCTTTCCTGAGGAGATATGTGGAGATTATAGAGCTTGGGGAACAATGTGGAGATCTAGAGGTAGGTGGCAGACCTGAAAAGCCAAGGCAGATAGATATCCAATGCGTCTACAAGGTCAGAAGAGGTACAAGCTCAGGTAGAAGGGACTGGAGAGCGGCTTTGATAAAACAAAGTGAAGTGAAGGAAGAGGGTACTCTGGAGGGAATGGGGTCCAGGTGCAAACTGAGTTATTGCTAGTGTCAAGACTGTTAGATGCTCTTGTGATGCCTCGAGGGTCTGCTGTCCAACGGGGGACAGAGAGAGGCCAGGTGACCAGAAGCCTGACACCCCTCCTCATAAGAACATTATTGTGATCTAACTTTGAAGAAATACAGGGCAAGACCACCCTTTCTTTCCCTTCCTCCATCTTTTTATTGTTGGGGAGACAATGTCTCCTTATGTGGTTTAGAATGGCACAGTAAATTTGTGACCCTCCTGCCTCAGTATCCTAAATGCTGGGGTTGCAGTAGTATACCACCTTGCTGGGATAGAGTGGAGCCTGTTCAGTGTGGATTTCTTCTTTTGGTATACTGCCCAGACTAAGACTGATCCATTGGTATATCTATCTATCAATCTATCTATCTATCGTTATTATTTATTTTAAGGACCTTTGCTACTTGAAAAGTTAACAAGTTTAGTTACTCATAAAAAGTCTATGACCATCATGGCAGGTAGCATGGCAGCAGGCAGGAATGGCACTGGAGCAGTAACTGAGAGCTTACATGTTGGGACACAACAACAAAGCAGAGAAAGCTAACAAAGCAGGGAACACTATGGATTTTTGAGCCTTAAAGTCAACCTGCAGTGACTCACCTCCCCCAATGAGGCCACATCCCCTCACCCTTCCCAAACAGTTCCACTGTCTGGGGGCTAAGCATTCCAATATTTGAGTTTATGGGACAATTCTCATTTGAAGGACCACACTCAATTACCTTGATTTAGTTTTTTATAGTGTCTGGATGAGTGTACAGAAAGACAGTGTGCTCTTTTAAGAGGTGAAGCTACTACATATACATAAAACCAAAATGTTTTAAAAGGTACAGTTTCACCTTTATCTGCCTGTTCATCTTGATGATGATGATTTAAGAAATATTTAGGCATTTGGATCATTTTGAAATCTTTGAAGAACTATTTTCTGAGATTGGGCTGGTCAAGAGAGGACTGTTTATTAACTTCATCTGTTTCTTCTGGCAGAAAACCCTTCCCTGACTAAGGACCTTCTGTGTGCTATTCTGAGTTGCAAGGGAGGTGGGACGAGGCACCTGATCTTATCTACTATGCAAGGAGTCACTTTGGCACATCACCACTACCAGGTTTGTCTTCTTTAATGTTCAGAGCGTTTTGCATTCAACAGAGTTAGCCCAGGCAAGGCAGTGGTGTTTGTCAGGCAAGGTAGTATGGGTTCTCCATAGTTGCAACATGGTCCTGAGAAACCAAGGGACTCTGCTGTGTGGTCACAAAGGGAATGAGCCCTGCAGAACTGGTAGCATGCTGAGTTTGGCCAGGACTCAGCTATGAGGGTTGCTTGTTAAAGTCTTAGGGATTTTACAAATGGTGGTTAATCATTTGCACCTTAAGAACTCAAACTATAGACACATGTAATTAAGTAAATATGTTAAGAGCAAAAGCAACAAGTGCTTGTGACACACAACTTCCTAGTTTTTGATATATTTTACTGCCTCTGTCCTGAGATCATTTGCATTCATGTCATCCGTATGACAGTGGTACTCTGGGCTGTAGACTTGCTACTGAGCATGGCTTCATAGCTCTGTGTTCAGTAACATCATGCTTATAGGAAGTGGGGTTTTTACATCAGGGGAATTGGTAAGTTCTCAAAAACAAATTGTTTGTCCATCCATTCATCTGCCTATCTTTCTGTCTGTCTTCCTTCCTCACTCCCTCCCTCCTTTCCTTCCTTCCTTCCCCCTTCCTTTCTTCCCCTTTCCTTCCTTCCTTCCCTCCCTTCTTCCCTTACTCTTTCTCCACTTTCTTTTTTCTTATATATTTATCCATTCATCCATCTCATCTATCATGTCTGTCCATCCATCTATCCATCTGTTCATCCATTGCCATACCTACCCATCCACTTATCCATCCATCAGTTATTGTCTACCAGTTTTCTATCATCTATGTTTTAGAAAGATAACTTTTTATTTATTTTTTATTAGCACATATTAATTATTCAAACAATAATTAATTATTGTTTAATTATGACATTTTATTCATGTATATAATATACATTATTAGAATTACGCCTTATCTTCTCTTGCCTCCCTCCCACTCCTACTGCAAATTGTTAATTTATGTAGTGTATTTTGACCATATTCTTTTCCATCCCCTAATTCCTCCCAGATCCTTCCCACCTCTTTACCCAACCAACTCATGTTCATATTCTCCCTTACACCCCATCACCTCTCAAAATGAAAATCTAAACAAATAAATAGCCCAACAACACAAAAAAATCCAAACAAAACAATGCAAAATAAAAGGCACAAAACCAAAAACCTTTTTGTGTTGGCCATCTACTTCTGGGCATAGGTCCTACCCTTGAGTCTGGTTGATATATTTTTTATACAGTGGCATTCCATGGGAGAAAACTGATTTTCCCTTTCTCAGCAGGTATCAATTGCAAATAGCTTATTGGTTAGGGGTGGGGCTTTATGTACACCTCTTCTCAGTGCTGGAATTTTGTCTGGTTTGATTTTGTGCAGGTCTTATATCACAGTCTCTAAGAGTTCAATATGTGTCTGGAAAATGCTTTTTCCTTGTAGTGTATGACATCTTTTTGAATCATTGGCTAACGGGGCCCCATACACCAACATCCCCTCCCCTGACAAAGCCATTATCTTGGCAAGATAGTTTTTAAATACCTACTGACCCATTGTGGGATTAAGTTACTTATAACAAACATTGACAGCTGATGAGACCATGCATGGTGGTTTTCTTTCTTATTAACTTGTACAAATACTCAGGAATCCCACCCAGGGCTTCCAACTAACACTGTTAGAGTGTGATTTTATATAGGGCCCACAAATATAAATTAAAAGCTAGAGTTCTTGAGAAGCTGGAAGAATGGTAGTGTTGTTCCAGAAATAGGTAAATATTTAGGTTTTATATACAGACTATTCTGAGTTCTTACTATTTTTGTGGTAAAGTGACCCTTTCCAGTCAGATGTTCCGGGGTGTGGGATCCTCTGGGGAATCAGAGTGGCTATAATGACAACGAGCATGCACTGCTAGACCAAACCCCAATGATGTGGCAAAGGCCACTCTTCTGAGGATGCATAAGAAGGTGGTGAGAACTGGGGATCAGGCCATCATCTAATTAGCTTCTAGAGAGAAATGTGTGTGAAAGAGAAGCCCAACGAGTCCACCAGATAACTGCCCTGTCAGCTCAAAGTTTTCTTTTTGTGTTTGTTTATTTAGACAGCTACTTTATTTTCCAGGATGTGCACATTTTTGTCTGGTAAAGATGAACACTCTATAATCTGAAAATTCCTAATGCAACATATTCCAAAATCTAAAACTTTGGGTACTAACAGCATACCACACATAAAAAAAATATGCACATGATATGCCACAGTCAAAATACAGGTGCCCTAACATACCGCATGGGTTGTCTTTAGACTATGTGCATAGTGTACAGTTAGAATGGGTTCCTAGCCTTAGCATACCTAATAATGTATATTCAGACATCCCATTATCCAGAAAGACCTGGCATTGGAAGAACTTCTGGCCTTAAGCATTTTATTTAGATAAGGCAAATCCAGCTGCATTACATACGGAAAAAAACCATAAAAACCTCACTTATTTTGAATGCTGAGAGAAGTTTATGATAATAAAACAGGCAATGCAGTGCAGATTTTGGAACAACTGACCACAGGACATCATTCATGGCTCAAATAAGTGTGTATGTGATAGTACCTCTGGTTGGATGAAAAGCATAAACCCCTGATTTGATGATGAAAAAGCAATTGCTCATGTCGGGATGAAAAACATGTCTTATTTTCTTTTCTGTTGCTGTGATAAACAGCATGACCAAAAACAATGTAGGGAAAAACAGATTATTTGGCTTATAGGTTATAGCCCATCATCGGGGAAACCAAGGCAGGAACTTTTTTTTCTTTTCTTTTTATTAGATAGAAAATTATTTTACATGTCAATCCCAGGTCCCTCTCCTTCCCCTCCTCTCCTGCACCTCAAACTAACACCCTATCTATCCCATACCCTTTCTGCTCCCCAGGGGGGTGAGGCCTTCCATGGGGGTGGGTCTTCAAAGTCTGTCATTCTTTGGGATAGGGCCTAGGCCAACCCCCTTGTATCTAGGCTCAGGGAGTATCCCTCCATGTGGGATGGGCTCCCAAAGTCCATTCTTATGCTAGGGATAAGTACTGATCCACTATAAGAGGCCCTGAAGATTTCCAGGGTTTCCTCACTGACACCCACATTCAGGGGGTCTGGATCAGTCCCATGCTGGTTTCCCAGATATCAGTCCAAGGCAGGAACTTGAAAAAGAAATCATGTGGTGAAGTTGCTTTCTTCCCTGCTCTAGCTTGTGTTCAGCTAGCTTTTTTATGCAGCCTTGGCCTAGGATGGTACCACCCATAATGGGCTGGGCCATCTATGTCAATTGGCAGTGAAGAAAATGTTTTAGATACATGGCCACAGACCAGCCTGATGGAAACAATTCCTCAATTGTGGTTCCCTCATTGTAGGAATATCAAGTTGAGAGCTTTGACATTAGCTACCAAGAGGGTCTGTAGTCCAAGGGTATTTTGTGTGAGACTTTCAGAAATGTAAATCCTTTCCAGATGATGTCATGGGGTTTCTCTGTGATGGGCTCAGGTAGGCAAAGGTTGCTGCTACATTTAACTGCTTGGTGTCTAAGTATTCTATTGTGCAGTTCGGTTAGTACAAGAATGGGGCTCCATTCACCAATCCAGGTGAGGAGAGTTCTAAGTGTCAACTCCTTATTCTCTCTGACATTGTGATCCCAACAGCAGAAGGTAACTGTCTTGGGCTCAGTAGAACCTGAAATTAAGTTTTAAAAGACATCACTACTCACAGAGTGACACTTCTGGGTTGACCAGAATTAGGTAATGTGGCTGGAATGTCAGGTTGACTTGGGGGCTTCTGAACAGTGTCTACTCACTTGCTTAGTGTTTAGGTGAAGCAGATCTGCTTCACTCAGAGAAGGAGGGCTTATGTGCCATGTTTGACACGTGGTGGTTCCTTATGCTCTAAAGGGTGTAGATTAACAAAGTCAAGTGTCAGTCTTTATGTTAGATACTTCTGACCAGAAGCCTGGTCCATCTGTGCTGCTCAAGGATGTTGAAATTTTTCCTTGATCACTTCCTGCTACTGGAAAGGGCAGTCCACTTTATTTCTCTGCAATTCTTTTTATGTCCAAGTTATTATTTTGTTAAATGTAAGAGTAACACTAGCAGTAGGAGTGCTATATGTGTATCAACTCAGTGATGAGCTGGGAGTTCTAGGAGGGAGCATAAATGTGGACAGAAGCTCCAAGAGATGAGGTGAGTTCCACCTGTGTTCTCAGAAGTGGGTTGGCATGTAAGCTGATGCTCATTTTACCTCTTGCTCAACACAGCATGCTATGAAGAAAGACCTCTACGGAGGAAGGGGGCATCAGGTCTGTGAAGTGTTTAAGTGAGAGTCTTACTCTCAGGAACAGGAAAAAGCATGGCTTGTGAAAGGAACATGCTTGAAATGGACAGATACAGGCTCACTATCTCTGTCTTGCAGGAGCGTGCCTGCCATTGCTCTCATGGGGACACTCAGGAAATAGCTGGGTCTGTGGACCCATTTGCAGAAGAGAAGGGGATGGTGGAGGAGGCTATCTGTGAGAATGTGTTGCTAGTGGACATCTAAGTGAAGCTGAGTGTTCTTTCTTGCTCCAGCAGAAGAGTGTTCTGCGGTTGTTCCTGCCAGGGCTCTGTATGGTCCACAGTACTGGATTTTCAGTCTTCATTTCTCTGGTCTAAGTGCACATTTTTTCCTTTTGGTGATTGACTTATTTGAGTTATCATTTCTTCTAGGTTCATATATTTTTTATCAATTCACCTCTCAGTGGTCAATTCCATGTCTTGCTCATTGTCAATGATTCGGCAGTGAGCATGCGAATGTAGACATGTCTCACACCTGCTTTCCTTTCCATTAGATGTAGACTCAGGAATGCTGTTCAGGGATCATATAGTAACTCGCATATTATCATTTTTAATGCCAGGACTACTTTGCATACAAGGGGTCCCTTTTCTCCACATCGTCAACATAATCATTTCTTGTCTTATAAACAATAGACAGCTTAGAAGATTTGAGGAGACAACCTCTCTGCAGGTTTTATTGCATTTTCATGATTGACAGTGTGGATCTTTTATTTTGGCAGTTTCTACATGTTTCCAGGTCTGTGCCCACTTTTTAAATGTTGGCACTTCACCTTTTCCTATTGGATTGTCAGTGACCCAGAGGTGCTGGAAACTGGGCTCTGGGAACTTAAGTGCCAGGTAACAGGGTGTGGCTTACTTTCTGTCCTTCCTGGAGTAAGCAGTCTTGCCCTGTTTTACTACTGCACAAGCACAGAGGAAATAAGAACATTCCCTAATACTTCAGGAAATAACTGGAAGCCTGCATTTACTTGAGAACCAGCCTCAAGCATGTGTGTGTGTGTGGAATTAAACACTGTGATCTCTGTCACTGCTGCTTTTTTTTTAGGAAATTGGAAAGATATGGTCCTCACCGGACCAGCTGGACTGTGAACATCTTAGCAGGAGTCTATCCAGTGCGTTGGAAGGCTTCAAAAGAAGCTTGGAAAATGCTTCTAGCCAGGGCTGCACATGCCAGCCCCTGGTGGGAACACTTCAACAGCACATGCACAGGTCTGTGTAAGAGGGGCGTGTACCTCCCCAGTATGCTCAGTCCTCCACAAGATGTGTGCTCAAGTGACTGTTTTCAGATACCGTTGGTACCACATACTAGTCAAACACCAGGGCTTTCCATAAATACACTTTTAAATGTTAAAACACAAGAGTAACTTCTGCCATTAGGTGAACTTTATAATGAGCAAGAAACTGGGTCAGATGTTATGATCCAGGATGACAGTACAGTATTAAATATAAATACCGGAGCAGTCAAATGTCTTCAAATTACTTCATGTTTGATTAAAACTTTTCAGTGTGTTCTAGAAGTGTGAGCCCCATGGAGAGGGCGAGGGCATTTACATTCTGCAGATGATGTTGGCACAGAGAAGTGGCAATCTCCTGGTGGTTACACTAATTTCTCAGATTCACCATAGTCTATTTTATCTATTTCCCACATTTGTGAGAAGCCATTTATCATGCATCTTATTGCCATTGCCCTGATTCATTTGCTAGGCTGGCCTGAGTGAGGACACATTGGAACCCCGGTGTTAATGGAATTCATGCACAGATGGCATCAAAGGACAGAGCATGTCCATTTATCACAGGGAAACTGTGTGATCCAGCCTGGGTCCTGGAACCTAGGCAGGATTTTTCACTCCTGCTTTGCTTCTGCTGTTTTATCTTGTCTAAGTTTAATTTTCTGTCACTTCAGGTTGATCAACAGTCTCAAGGAGACATGGATGACAAAGATTCCTGTTATGATGTTTCTTAGCAATTTTACAGTCACAGAGGGTATGTCATTTCCGAACTTGCTTGATTAAAAATCAAATTTAATGTTCCAGCCCAAAATTTTCTTCAAATAAAACATAAAAAAGAAAAGTTGGGTTATGCAGTTAAAGAAGAGGAGGGCTTGAATTTGAGAAGGGGTGGGGACAAAAGAGAGTTAGGAGGGAGGGAAGGGAGGAGAAATAATGTGATTATGTTTCATTTTAAAGAAAAAAGTAAAATTAAATTTATGTTTAATTCTAATATTCTAAAATAAAACACAAAAAGCAAGAGTTGTGCTATATATAATCTAAAACCAAAACCAACCAAACAAATTAGAACACGGCTAGTCATAGATATTAAGGCTTCCGGAAGAAATTCCCAAGATCTCAAGGTCTCAAAAAGCTGACAAAGGAAAAAAAAAGGAATCTTGTATTGTTTGGGTTTCTCACCAACCTTTTGTCCTTCCACAAACCACACAACTCCTAAAACTCACACAGGATCAGTATGGCAAGTGTGAAGAATTCTCACACATCCTTAGGTGATGATTTTCTTATTTAAGAAAGTGAGAGACTAGGTCCCTGTAGCCCAAGGTTCATTCAGAAAGAGCTCTTTCTAAGGCAAGTCTCAAAGCACGCTGGACTCAGAGTCGACCATTGACAAGATGATATCACATAACCAGAAGTCATCACAGATCCCCCTAGAAGTGTTTATGATAAGCTGGACACCACCAACAAAAACTTCTTATTTAGGTGGCAACATCAAATTTTGTTATAAATCAGTAAAGATTTTGAAAATTTATTATAAAATTTCTTTGCCTTTTGTGTGTTCTTCAGATGTCAAAATAAAGGATTTGACGAAGAATGTCACCAAATTAACCGAGGACCTCCGCTCCTCCTTCCCCATCTCCGATGAGACCATCCACAGTATCTTAGAAGCCACCATTTCCCATTCAAAGGTACAGGGCTGCTTTTCATCAGGAAGGAGCCCTCACAGCTGACCACCTTTCTCTGTCTCCTCCTCCCTGGTCCATAGCTGGGGGAATGGATGTCTGCATTAAGTGATGTAGCTGAAAGCAGAGGGGACACACAAGGACAAGCAGGGAACTGGAGGATGTCAACGTCTCATGACATAACCTGGTCACATGGTCTTCATTTGGGGGGACAGAAAGGATGAGGTTTCTGGCAACATTTTGTTTAGTGATTTGTAACCCTAATGCATGAAGTGCTTTAAGTTTGCATATGGTTCCATGCATGTCATAAATCTTGAATCCCTAAACAAAGCTAGTTAGAGATATATAATTTCCCATGGTGGGGAGTAACTGTGTACTCTGGCCATGTGGTATGGATATGACTCAGATGAGCAGTGCCAGGCTCAGGCTTCCCTAGCATGATTGGGAAATGTTGGGTATGGAAGTGGGAAAAGGAGTGGTTTGAACCCTCACACCATGTGTTACTTATCTCTTGACTTGTCAAAATGGTGGAGGGATATTATTAGCAGAAAGGGAAGCAGATGGCAACCATGTAAGCCACAGCAAATGCCACCTGAACCTTTAGCTGATGGTTTTCTGAGATGACCTTCAGTACTTTTGGGAGACATGGTTACCTTCCTCTGCAGTCAAGAAACCAGCTTATGCATGAGTGCTTCAATTGACAATCACTCAAGCTCCAATATAAATTTAATTTCATGTTATTTTCAGCTAATTAGGGCTAAATTTGCACTTAGTCAGTAGACTCATTAACAGTTAATCTAAATTAAGAAAGAAATAGTTTAAAAGCTAGTGATCCAAAATGCAGTATCTCGAAGTTACTTGTCACAAGAAAGGCAGTATCCGTTTTCGATAAAAACATCAATTGTTTAGCATTAGATATATCAGGCCCATGGGAATGTGGGGGATGAAGGAGGAGGGGGCTCAGCAGAGAGTGGAGCACTGCTAACATTTCTTTAACTAGGCAAAGTTCAGTGGAGATGGTAACTGCTGCCACTTGAACACTGCAGGGTGGAACATCTAACAGGAAGCTGGAACAATGGCTGGAATATTTTTGCAGCAGACAAAGACTGCCTGTATATAAGTGTTACTGATAAACTCATTTCGATAGTCTTTCAAGGTCCTCATCTTAAGTTCCATTTTGGTATGAGCACAGAGCTTCCTGCCTTGCTGCCTGCTTAAGAGCAAGCAGCCACCAGGTGTCGCTGATGGTCTATGGTGAGAGGAGCTGTGCAGTGAGAGTGGATTATGCAGTTACACAGTGCCAATTGCTGCACATATGCTTTTGTTTTACCTGTCTCCACCGCCCCCCAGCCCTGATCTGTGTATATTCTCTGCATCTCTACAAACCACTGTGGTCACCAAAATAGATGGATCCATAGGTAATTAGATGGGGACCAAACAAATACATTCTTACAGTTCAAACACATGAGGCCACTCACTTTAATGTGTACATATGTCCAAGACATCACATGTCCACAGCTGCTCAGCAGGTGACACCTTGGGCACTGTTGTCTTCTAGAGTATCAGGTTGATGACCACTTTTAGTTTGCTGCCCCATCTCCTTTTGTTTGCCCCTGGGTTTCTTTCCTGTAGTATCATTAGTCAATTTACAATTTACATTAGTCATTTACAATTTACAAATTACAATTTACAAAGTCAATTCATCACTTTGAATCCATTCCAAGCTACTGGTGACCTACAAGGCACATTTTTCAGTGCTGGGTCCCTTGGAATGTTTCATAAACCTTTGCTTGCTCTTCCTTTTGTCCACCGAAGATCTTCCCATGCCTCAAGCATGGTTCTTAGAAGCTGAGTCTTTGAGGCATTGCTCTAAGAAGCTGACCTTTTGTGAGGACAGCTCATTAAATATGCAATGTTGACAGTGTATATGGAGACCCTGGAGAGTCCTGTGGCATACGTGTAACACAACAATGGGGACAGGCAACTACAGGAAGCCTGCCTTAGCAGGGACATGGAGATGGAGCTGTGAGCCAAAGTACTCGAGATATTGAAATGCTGAAGGAGGCAAGGGCAGGCTCGTGGGTTGATGCCTGGCTGCCTTCCCTTCCTTGTAGGGTTCCTATGAGCTGTTGCCCCCTTTCTTGCCTCCTTTCTTGAACACTGGCATCATGCCATCCACACCCAACATCTACTGAGATGCACTAGATCCTGAAGCCCATGTAGCCCAACCTTCTGCCTAGGGCCTAATCCCCTTCTACCCATTCCATGCTGCACCACTCTACAGTAGTCTGCCCCAGTGGGCAGGGTACCCAGGATGCCTTTCCACTGTCAGATGGTTCTCTTCAGGAATGTGAAATACAGAATGGATTGATTAGCTGCTCTCTCTCTTCCTCAACTCTACCTGCAGGCTGACTTAAATATCAGGGTCTTTTTCAATCGATGATTCTAACCCTCCCATATTCTCATTTTCTTGAAGAACTCCAGTGAAAGGTGCATTCTGACTGATTATTGCAAGCTTGCCCCAAGGAGCATTACTGAACACTCACATTCCTGTCCACTGCTTCTCAGAGCCTCACATTTGCAGTTCTACTAACCAACCTTTGGAAGTATTGAGTGTCTTCTAATTACTATTGTGAAGACATGGAAACTGGAGCCCTTGGATGGAAATCCAGTATCTTTCAAGTCATACAGTGAGAGTTTGGATCAGATCCACCGAATGTGGCCCTTACTGCTGACTTCACCCTGGGGCTCAGTCCTGGACAGAGCCCATGCTCTCTGCTGTTCTCTCACACCCATCTCTTCTATTTGGCTTTTTATTGTGTCAGTAGATATGAACTCAATCCCAACCTCAAAGCCGAGCAATGTTCACTAAAGTACATAAGATCTGTTTTCCCAGTTTGACCTGATTTTACTTTCTTAGCATTTGTCTTAATCAGCGTTTCTATTGCTATGAGGAAACACTGTGGCCAAAACGCCAGTTGGGGAGAAAAGGGTTTATTTAGTTTACACTTCCACATTGTTGTTCATCACTGAAGGAAGCCAGGGCAGGGACTCAAGCAGAAACCTGGAGGCAGGAACAGAAACAGAGGCTGTGGAGGAGTGCTGCATACTGTCTTGCTTTCCCTGGCGTTCTCAGCCAGCCCTTCTTATAGAACTTAAGACCACCAGCCCAGGGATGCACCACCCACCATGGGTTGTGCCCTCCCCCATTGATCACTAATTGAGAAAATGCCTTACATCTGGATGTAAGCATGGACTCATTTCCTCAAGGGAGGCTCCTTCCTCTTTGACAGCTCTAGCTTGTATCCAGTTGACACACAAACCAGCCAGTCCAGTATTCAAACCTCAGATCAGCAGAGTCACTGTTCTCATAGTTCCACCGTGGCTGCATTGCTCTCAGTATGTCCTTGCTACTCACAAGACTGAGCATGGCTCCTCCCACCCTGCTCCCATTTTATCTGCACCTCAGTGCATGAAACTATTAGCTGGACAACAGCTGAAGCACATTCTTAGCCCTGCTCTTGACCCATGTCCCCTGGTGTGGAAACTCTTGCTGAAAATGGTGAGTGTCTCTCATGTGGATCATCACCAGGTTTAAATCAAACAAATATCCATGTGGCTGAGTATATATGCCCAGAGTGGGGAAACACCTCCCCAGGTATCTGGTCTTCCTGCAGATTTCCAAGTCAAATGTGGATGTGTAGAAAAAAACATCAGAAACACAGTATTTTTGTCTCTGACAGTGCAAGGTATGGGCCTGAGCAAAGCCTGCATGATGGATTGAATCACTGTATATGTTTCTAACTGAGCAATTGTGTTTCCTTCTATTCCTCACCTGTGCTGCTTGATACAGGCATCTTTCCAAAAAAGAAAAACAGGCATAATAATATTTTCAAAAGATAAATAGCAAAATGGAAAACCACACAAAGGAGTGTCAACCAACCTCCCATAAGCTCTTGCCCTTGGGGTGGTGTCATAGGGGTCTTGGTGGGATACTCTTTACCTATTAAGTGAGGTGCCCAAAATTTCAACACACACATTTTGACCCTTGAACAAATTCTAAGAAATAACACCAAGTTCTAAGAGCTGGCACTATTGAGTGACACACTGAAGAGTGGTGGGGACAGAGGCTCTCAGCAAGTAGGGGAGGACTGTCATGGGACCAGCTTGGCTTCCTGTCCACCCAGAGCTTGGAGCAGCTTCTTTGGAGTTGAGGGCATGTGTTAGGATGAGCTCCACTTCCCAGCAAAGTTCTCTCCTAGAGCCAGTTTACAGAACTGAGCAAATATGGCACCAGAAGTCAGGTTAGTGCCCATACCACACTTTCAGGGATCCCTGGGAACTGCCAGGAACATCTGGAAACAGGTGTGAGGAACTGTGTCTGCTCCACTACCTTACTTATAATAGCCTTCTGCTTAGCTGCCTGTGAAGGTGGTGGCATTCTAAATGTCCCTGTCAGTGTAGTGGGTTTTTTGTTATTGTTGTTATTTCTTTGATGAGAATAATATTAAATAATCAGATTTCATTTAAGGATCTTGAAAAAAAAAAGCTACTGAGGTCCCCTGACCAAGATGGAGTACAGTCTTTGGGGGCTTTTTAAGCTTGAGCTGCAGCAGCACCTCCTCTCTGGGGCCTCAGCCTCTGGCCTATTACATAGATTGTTCTAGCAAGTCCCCATAATGCTTGAGCCACTTCTCTAAAAACAAGTCTTTCTTTTCTTTCTTTCTTTCTTTCTTTCTTTCTTTCTTTCTTTCTTTCTTTCTTTCTTTCCTTCCCCCTTTCTTTCCTTCCTTCTTTCTTTCTCTCTTTCTCCTTCCTTTCTTCCTTTCTTTTTTAAACAATAACATTTATTCAGTGAATGTCAGGATACTGTGTTAAACAACCAGCCAAAATCAAACTTTTCTAGACTTTTATGCATATTGTAGTCTAGTGGCATGTATTTGTTGATGTAATATGATTATATTCTATACAGATGTTATTGCACCACTATCATTTTGAGATTACATTTTAGAGATTTACAATTTTTTGTTAGTTATACATCTTATTTATTTATTTATTTTTTAAATTTCATTTTACATTCCAACCAAAGTTCTCCCTCCTACATTTTCTTGGGAAAGTAGGGTCTGGGCATGGGGGCAGGGAGCTGAAGCACTTACCCTGCTTACCTTGCTTCTGTCTGATTCACATGCTTCACAACAGGTTCTCTCCAGTGTCCTCACTGTAGCTTTGTCTGGAAAGTGTGATGAAGAAATTCTTCATCTCCTGCTGACATTTCCCGAGAGTGAGAAATCCTGGTTTGTTACAAGGGAACTCTGCAGCCTGCCTGGGTCTCAAGTGTTCTCTCTGCTCATGGTGATGGGCCAGAACCTGAACCTGAGGAACCTCATTTACAAAGTAAGGACCTGGTGGGAGAGGGGTGGGAGTGCATGGGTGGGGTAGGGGTTGAGGATGTTGGGGGCACTGCAGGGAAGCTGCCCCCATGACTGTGCTGACTACCCACTGGCTGTGTAGTTGTCTGCATCCCCAGACCCCAAACCCAAGGGTGCTTTATGCCTTATATGAAAGGGTGTGGTGTATAGAACCTATGTATAATCTTTTGTCTAAGTTAGGTTTCTGTTGCTATGGTCAGTGCAATGACCAGAAACAACTTAGGGAGGAAATGGTTTATTTCACCTTACACTTTCATGGCACAATCCATCACTGAAGGAACTCAAGGCAGGGACTGAAGCAGAATCCAGGAGGAGTGCTGCTTACTGGCTTGTTTCCTCTTGCTCAGCTTGCTTTACTTAGAGCATCCAGGAACACTAGCCCAGAAGTACCATTGCCCACCATGAACTGGATCCTCCCACATCAATTGCTACTTAAGAAAATGATCCCAAGGCCTGCCTACATGACAATCTGATGGCGGCATTGTTTTTCAATGTTGGTTCCTCTTTCCAGATATGTCCAGGTTTGTGCTAAGTTGACAAAAAACTAATTAGTACATTTTCTATACACTTTAACTTCTTTACATCTGATATAATACCCAAGAGCTAATAAATGCTGAATACTAAATACTTGTGATATTGCATTCCCATTGGTATGCTGACAAGAAAAAAATCTGTACATATACAATATAGAGACTTAAAAAATATTTTGGCCTCTAGATTGTTTCAATTGATGGATGGCCGTGGTCCCTATACTAGCTGCAGCAAGGGACCAACAATGAGGAATTCTGTGGCAGCCTCAGTCACCTGGGGAGGGAGCATCACCTATTGAATGAATGACTCTGGGGATGGCATCTAATCTCCAATTAGATCTTGTCAAATAAATGGAAGCCTTGAAGAACCTTGTAGTGTGATCATGGGGTCAGGGTCACTAAAGCATTGGGCACAACATAGTGGTGAGGAGGGGTCACCAGAAAGAAATGTCATGGGCCTTTAGTCAAATTTTTCTCCTTGCTAAGAGATAGCACCCTGTGCATCTGAGAAAGCAGGGTTGATCCTAGTTCATTCCTAAGCTGCCAAGGCAGATGTGCCTACCATGCTGTGGCCCTTGCCTTCTTTGTCACCTGGATCTGTGGTGTCCTCTCTGCCTGTTAGATGCATCCAGTTCTACCAGGGCAGCCATGGGAAGGTGTAGAGGGATGGTCAACATGGCATCTGAGTCCTTGAATATACCAGCTCTTCCTGCTCCACAACAGTCCCCACCAAAGTAGGGAAGGGCTGAAAGAAGATGAGGGTAACATCCTCAGAGAAGATGTACATGTAGGAAGTTGGTGGCTGTCTCTGCCCCCAGCCACCCAGAGCCAGTTCCCATCCTTACTTGCTATTGTCAGCCACCCTTTCTGGAAGGTCTTCCTCATCCCACACATGAGCTTTCATTTGAATTCCCAGTACCCCCTCTCCCTGCCCTTGCCCATGTCTTTCTTGGAGCTCTGCTGTTTTTCTCCTGAGGATATATCCCATATGCCATCAGAAAGGTCCAGATGCTGGTATTCTGTGTTCAGGAGAACAGTCTGGGACCAGAAAAGAATAGACTTGTTTTTCCATCCATTCTTGTTATCTTCCCTTATGTCACTCCAGGAAACCTCTGGCAAATGTTTGCCTACCTCCCCATATCCACACTCTCCTATCCATATATACACAGTCTCTAAGAACAAATCCTTATTTTATGATAAGTGTACTTTAAAGTCCCAAGGTATGACTCTATGTTTTACAGATTCTCTGTCTTGGTGTAATTGACACTTCCAGCTGACATGCTAAGGAGCTTAGCTCTCTATTTGCTCATCATCCAATGTCACCTACCACTCTATCAGTTAGCCCATTGTAGTGCCTGCTCCAGCATGCCCACATAGGCCTCCAATGCATCTTAGGACCAAATAAGTACTTGGACAAAGGCCATCATACCTGCCAGGATATCTTTGGAGAATGAGATATTAGATTGGATCCTATCTCTAGGGACACAGCAAAGGAGACACTACCATTAACAACAATAGGTCCCTTTATCAGTCCCTTCCATATGAGAGGTCGCTCATATGTGACATCACTTGGAGATGAGAGGGTATTCTATAATGTACAGGCAGATGCATTGCTGCTGAGAGTCAAGCCACTTCAGTTGACAGGTGTTTTCTGTCTCACTTGCTGACAGTGAACTCCAGAAGCCTTTGGTGAAGTGGCTCTGTCAACATCACCTGTGCCAGAATCTCAGTCACTTCCTACCACAAATCCATGGCCTCAAGGGGTCACTTCTAAATGACAGCTCTAAGTAGAAAGGGAAGTGGGGAACCTCCAAAAGCCTCACCCCATCTCCTGTTCCTCAGCATCTTATTTGTGAGTGTGATGAGTAGGTCATGGCTAGCAGAGCACATAGGGAAATGTGAAATTGTCATCTCCTGGCTGCAAAGCAGCCGGACTCCAGAGAACAAAATTCAGAAGCAGTGACCATTGGGCTCCTTGGCCCAGCCCAGGATCTGAAAATTCAGGACGTAGATGATCTTCAGACGGGGGAGAATCTCTCTGACTTTTCCCACCTGTGGACAGAGGGGCTGCCTGCTGACTTAGTTTGGTCAGCCAAAAAGTAATCAATTGTATAACTATTATTGCAGATGCTGATCTATCTTTACTTCACACATAAATGATCAAGACAGAAAGGAATTCTTGGAAATTACATTGTAGGGAATATGCAAACAAGGAGTGAGACGGGTAGTGTGTCAGGTGGCCTGACAAGTAGGTTTCAAAGAGCACTTTTACAGGTCTAATTTGCAGCCCTGAATTTCTCTCACTGGTAGACTCCAGGAAACCTCTCATCTCTCCAGGCTTCCATTTGCTCATGCACCGCCCCAGGGTTCTAGGAGCACTGTGATGGAGTGTGTCTGTGAGTCACATGAAAGCACAGTTTTATTTTGAGCCTCTTCTCAAATTTCCACCTTAGTTATTTAAAAGTTATGGAGAAATATTTTGAAAGTGATTCAAATTCTAACCATTTGTTGTTGGTTTATATTTTAGCAATACTGCTATAATTTAATGTGCTCTGCAAAACACAGTTACATCTACTCCAACACACAATTTTTTATAGAGTATAGAAATCAAGCCCTGGAAGTTCAGGAGAGGATAAAATCAAGACACAAAGTTATCACTGCTCAAGAGATGCTTGTGAGAGTGGAAATAGTATTGATTATTCCGTTTTTTTCCCTTTTTGCTGTCCTGTAAGACTCTGATACCCTCTGAAGAAAATGGCTTGCTCAACTCCCTGTTGGATGTCATTTCCAGCCTCAGCTCCATCCTTGCCAGAGCCCAGCATGTCCTTGAACATCTCCCTGAATTTCTTCACATGTTTAAAATCACCGCCTTGCTAGACATGCCAGACTTCCAGCAGGTGTGTTTGATCCCCACATGATGGGAAATGTTCTGGTTTGTTCTCTTTTTGTTTGTTCACTTTTTTCTTTGTTTCTCTTCCAACCTCTATGATTTTACAGGACCACAGCATAGATGAACAAGAACACCTTTTAATGGTTTTGGAGCTAACAGCACAGTAGTAGGGCCTGACATGACCCTAAAATTGGGAAGTGCTATTGATCCACAACCCACCAATGAGGAGAATGAGATGGTTCAGGGTTTGTCTATGAAGTAAAAATCTTCTAAGTCAATTATTAGCACAGATGAGATTTCAAGGGCCCGTTTAACTTAATTTCAAGAGCAAATTGCTTTCAAGAATCTTAGAACATTTATTTACATATAAATAATTGGCTTACAAATTACAGATCATTTTCTCCTAATGCAAACACAGACTTGAATTAGGTTAGTTTTTGCTTGAATTTCTTCTGCCTGGGATGGAATCAACCAGGGTAAGGAGTGTTGGAGGTTCAAGAGGGACCAGATAAAGATGTACCCAGAATCCTTGCTAACAGTATGTCCATGTACTCATCAGTTTATGGCTAATTTGGGCAGCTCTCAAGAATCAGTATTTACTTAGCAATGTGAACACATGCCAAGACTATCACATTTATTTGAAATAGTGATATTATTTGTTGGATTAATTTATTATTGCAGAAACAAGGAGGTGTGTGGATGTAAGAGTTTATGACTGTGTGTGAATACGTGTGTGTGAATCTGAGTATATGTGTTAATGTCTGAGTATATGTGTGTGAATGTGTTATGAATCTGAGTGTGAGAGAATGCATGACTGCATGTATATGTGTGAATGTGAGTGCGTTTGAGTGTACGTGATTGTGAGTGTGCATGTATGTGGACATATGTTTGTGTGAATTCTAGCATTTTAGTGTGTATAAATGTATGTGAATGTGTGTGAATTTATCTGTGAATGTGTGAGTATACAAATGTCAGTGTGAGTGTGTGTATGTGTGAGCATGTGTTTGTGTGAATGTGAGTGTTTGAGTATGTAAATGTCTGTGAATGTGTGTGACTGTATGAATGGAAGTGTGAATATGTGAGTTCACACATGTGAGTGTGTATGAATGTGATTATCTGAAAGTTTGTGAATCAGTGTGTATGAGCCTGTGTGTGTGTGAATGTATGCATATGTGATTTTCCTCTTCTACAACATACATTTTCCAGAAATAAAATTGTTGCAGTGATTTAACTGGTTTCCCAAGAACAGAACAAACTCAAGCAGAGTTTATTCTTTCACTTGTATATTCCATCAAAGATGGAACGATGCTTCCAGAAGTCTGAGCAAACAGAGTGAAACCACTTGTAATGAGAAGTTGCTTTTACTATGCTCAGGTTTCACAGAAAGACCAAGCCAGAAGTTCGTCTTTGGCTTCTTTCCAGTCTGTGATGAAGCTCCTCTGTAAGGACCAGGACTCTTTCCTCAGCAACTCGAACATGTTCGTTAATTTACCTAGAGTCAATGAGCTCTTGGAGGATGACAAAGAGAAGTTCAATATTCCTCACGACTCAAGTAAGACAAGAGCCACCTCTAGTTACGTAGGTTGGCTTGTACAGTAACAACTGGACCTGCATAGCAATACCGTTCTTCCTGGGCTGACCTCTAGGGATACATGCTGGCATTGAGTTTTCTCCTTCATTTTCACCAGTCACTGAGTTCTGGCATGGTAGTTCTCTGTAGACTTTCTCAGGGTCTGTGGTCATAGGCTAATTCTCTCTCCTGGATCTCTAAGAAACTTAGTCTAAAACATTTGACCCATCTGAAACCCCAGCCTCTTTGGTACCCTGGGGTAAGCAATGCTGATGATAGCATTAGGTATCATTTGTCAGTAAGTCAGTCTAATCCATAATTTGTATAACTGTGAAATGTTTGGGTAGTTTGATAGACATATATTAGGGTTATTTAATTTTCATAAGTTTTTGTTTCTTCTTTCTCTAATGCTCCTTTATCTTTGTTTTTGTGGAATCTTGACTGATTATCCCTCTTTCATTCATATACCCTCTAATCATCTGTCCATCCATCCATCCATCCATCCATCCATCCATCCATCATCTCATCCATTCATCTTTGTTGATCCTTTTCTGCATTTTTCTACATGGTTGTCACAACAATGATTAGACAACACCACCAGTTTACTTTTCAGAGGGCATGTCACAAGTTCAGAAAACATTAGTTATTCTCCCGAGTTTGCTCAGCTCACAAATCACTCATGATTCTTGGGATCAAGTTTCTTGCACTACATACCATGATTACTCCTAAGATAAGAACTATTCCCATGTCAATTAAGCTTGTAATTTAAAGAGCACGTTGTTAAACATAGAATAACCTCTCCAGTCAGTGCTTCAAGGGTTAGTTTGTGAGTATGTGGTTAACTTACATTTTATGGGATAATTTTTATTGATTTTATTATATTTTTGGTAAAAGATTTTTTTCTGTTGATGATAGTTTTGGAAAGGTGAAAGTAACACAGTGATCAAAACAGTACTTATCATACCCATACGAATCATGACATAAGGACAGGATAACATTTCCCTCTTAAGGCTCACTTTTGGGTAAAAGAACTGGTTGTATGGATATATTTATAATTATCTATAAATATAATACTTCATTACCAGTCATCAAAGTGATGAATTACCTACAGGTTTAGACAACTTAAGTAGACTTGTCATTGAAATAAATTAGCTTTACAGTAAGAGCCACCATAAGGAGTTGTTTGAGTCAACATAATATGATTTAATGTACTAAAAGTATCAATAGTGATAGTTTTGTAAGGATTATCAAAGAGAATTCAGGAACAACTTACAAGGTGACTACATTAAAAGAAAAGGTCTTTCTGTTCCCAGTATTGTGGTTATTGAAGTGAGAATTGCCTTGATTAAAACCATGGTAAAAAAAATAATCCACAATCTCTTTGTTAAGTGCCTGTGCCATCTTTATGACAGACAACGGCCTGAAAGGTGGGGGGTCTTTACGTTTTTAGGGGACAAGAATTGCTATGTTAGGGACATGAAAATATTATCAGCTTACTCTGGTTCATAGCTATGTCATGAAAACATACCCAATTAATTTCATTGAAAATTATGGCATAGTGGATGTCTGGATATTTTGTATTAACCTAGTTCACCTAATTCTTCCCTCCTTCTTTTAATTGTGGCAGCACCATTTTGTTTGAAGCTTTATCAGGAAATTCTACAGTCTCCAAATGGTGCACTGGTATGGTCTTTCTTAAAACCTATATTACATGGAAAAATACTGTATACACCAAGCTCTCCAGAGATCAATGAGGTCATTCAAAAGGTAAGTTTAATCAAGGAAGATTCTTATAGGCTATACAACACAATGTATCAGGAAGAAATTTTTACATAGATAATGGGATTATTTATGTGCATTGTGTTACATAACATTTTCTTATGTTGGTGCTAAGTGTGGACTGGCTGAGCTCTTTATTTAGAGGATGTCCTGGAGGCTGGGAGGGTCACTTAGAATCATGAATTTGATGTTTTAATATCAAAATCTGAGGACAATTGCAAATAGGGCAGTTCCAGATCAGGTGAGGGGGACACAGTTCTAGAACAAAACATTGAAAACACATTTAATCCACTTTACTTGATGCATTTTATACTGAAGAGAGAGTTCAGCAGTGCAGGTGCAAACAGACCTTCTAAATCATTTTGGTGGTGATGTCTTTCAAACGGACCATGAGGTTTTACATGACCCTGTGGAGAATAAGATGAGATGAAAAGGGCACAGGAATGCCTCAGAAGGAGTTCCCATGTTGTGTAGTTTTGTTCACTTACCTTCCAATATAGTGTTTTATTTCTCTAGTATCTAATTACTGGAAGACCTCCTATTAATATTTGTGTTAAAAATTGTGTTCTTCTGGGGACTTCATCTTATTTCTATTTAAATAATTGTGCTGTATTTTTCTGTATGTATTTTCTTGTTTTCAGGTGGGTTGTAAGCCTGTAGGCACCTTGAAGGGTCACTTTTTCAAGGACACAGGGACTTTGTTCATATTCTCAAATAGAGAAGACCCTGCTCTATGAATGGCAATCTTCAAGCTTCAAATACTAGTAGTAATTAAAAGTGCTGTGCAGTCATAGGATCAGTGAATTATTTTTGGTTGAGTGAACTTTCAAGAGAACTAGTGTTTTGTCCCCTTGTGACTGATGTGGAACGTCACAGCAAGTCTCCTGGGCACCTGCCACCTGCCACTTAGCCTTGTGGCTGTACAGCCCTCAGTATGCCCTCTGTTGTATTTATAAACTTATTTTTTTATTTTAAATGTCCTTTGGGAGGAAAGTTTGCAAAAAACCTAAGTTGCTTTGAAGTAATACTAGCTATCTAGAGACTTGATTATGTCCTCTAGTAGCTGTTTTGTCTGTCTGAAGCTCTGCTTTAGGCTGTCATTCTGACATCACACTCGGAAGAGAGGCTTATAACAACACTAGAGCCAAAGTCAATGCCAGGTGATGCCCTCTTTGTATAAAACTTACTAAGGTCTCCCACAGTTCAGAAATTTCATAGAAATATCTCTGTCTCAGTTTTATTAAAAAGAGAGGTTATGGATTTTTATAGTGATATATCTTAATGTCATTATTAACATGTTTTTATATTATATTACATACTATGTTGTGTTTTTCAATGATGGTAGCCTCTTCAGAAGTATGGAAGAGAAGGCAAACAGCTGAGGAAGCTAATGTGAAATGCAGCCAATGATACAGAGTCCCAGATACACAGGGTTGGGGAGGGGACACACCTTACATCACGGTTTTGGGAATAAGGGTTTCAGCAGAACCAGGGAAGATCTCAATAGTTCTTACATGGCCCTGCTTGGGTTTCAGAGGTAGTAATAAAAGTGGATATCTCCTCTGCTTGTTTACATGACTGCAGACCGGGCTGGGTCTTGTTCTGCCTAGTTAATGTCACTAGAGACCATGCACTGTCTTATGTTTGCACTCATAAAGCTGACTTAATGCCATTGTCCTTTGGATGAATTATTCTTGCAGTCAACCATGGGCATTTAGTTTTATGAAAATTGGTTCTGGTTTTTAAACACAAAGATGCATGTCTCACACAGCAGAGAGATACTTACTGCAATGCCATCTATGTTGCTGGTGTGGTTGGAGCTGTAAAGGGAAACCATTCTCCCCATCACAATATTTCAGTCAGTGATGGATCATGCAATTGGTGGTGGCCTTCTAAGGTTATAACAGAGCTGAAGAATTCCTGCTGCCCTTTGGTGACCTAGCTGTCATCAATTCATTGCACACTGTAATACTCATGTGTTTGTGATGATGTTGGAGCATTGTATAAAATGGAGCAGAGAGAATTTTTGTGTGCAGTGCACTATACTTGAGACTGACAAACAATTATATGACCAGTTTGTGTATTTGGTGTACTGTATATTTGTTATTATTTTAGAGTGTCTTTTACTTGTGAAAATGCTTTGCTGTAGAGCAGTAGGCCATATTTTGTCTGCAGCAGCCCCACACATCTTGTGCTAATCACCGCTTTTGATTGACATGTATCCTTTAGGTTCATATCACTGCACTCTAAGATGTGTGCACAGCATGAGGTGGTCTGATGATGACAGTGTCCAGAGTGGATCCTGGCTGCTGATGAGTGCCTGTGGGTTCTTCTTAGACTTAGTTCTTTATTATTTCTTATTAGGTAGGGACATAGGAAAAATACCATTTTTTTTTTTTTTTTTGCAAATCGGTAATTTTCTGTGGTGGATCCTGTTAAACTGAGAGTGGCACCAATAATCATAATGTCTTGGTCAGAAAATATGTGCTCATTGGGAAGGCAGGGTTTAAGCACTCCTGTGTCAAATTATGTGTTCCCCACTCTCTCTCTCTCTCTCTCTCTCTCTCTCTCTCTCTCTCTCTCTCTCTCTCTCTTGTTTATTTACATTTTTAATGTATGAGTGCTCTGAATGTATATCTGAATGCCAGAAGAGGGCACCAGATTTTATTACAGATGGTTGTGAGCCACCATGTGGGTGCTGGGAATTGAACTCAGGACCTCTGGAAGAGCCCCTAGTGTGCTCTTAATCCCTGAGCCATCTCTTCAGCACTTACTTTTTCTTTTAGGAGGGCTCTTTCTCTCCATCTGAAAAATGAGACCTAGATACCCACCATATGCATCATTCAAATCATTTGACCAAGGCAGGACAGGGCACAGTCATACTCCTCCATGTCTTCTGCAGAACTGACAGGATGCAATGGGGGAAAGTGGAACCTGTGCAGAATTAGTGGATTGCACTGAAATATGAAGGGTTTTGTTTTAAGGCCAGCTGGCTGAGGAGGAGGCGGTGATGTTTAGACTGTTTTCTTAATTAAAATGTTTCCCTAGCATTGAGCCAAGTATTCTCTTCTCTTCAGTCACAAGAGACCTCCTGGGCAGAGGACCGAAATGTCTTTTTCATTCTGACAGTCATTTACTCTGAGGTCACAGAAGCAGATATTAGGCCTGCCTATTTCTGTGGGCCTACTGGTCTGTGACTGAGCAGATTTCTTCAGACCAAGGACAGCTTGTAGCAGAGAACAAGAGGACTGATGGGTGATGTCCTATTTCCAGCTCTCCTTGCACCCCAGGAACTTTCTATATTAGGATCTGTGCTGGGAGCATGAGCCAAAGAGTGAGAACCATGTGGCTCCCTGACTGCTGGACCCACCTAGTGACTTTGGTCACTTTGTGACTAGAGTGCAGAGCCCTACCTGACTTCAAAGGGTCAGTGTCCTGCATCAACCTCCCCTCATCTGATTCCTGTGGCTTTGTATCCCTGACACCTTCTAAAATGATTACAGTCAGTTTAAAACTTTATTTTCTAGGTGTGTTTTAGTGGTCTTAACGCAGTGAATTTTGCTACCATTTCTTCCCAGTTATTACCATTTTTCTGAGCACACTGATAATTTTGTTATTATCGTGGGCAATTGGACCAAGAGGGTATAAAAGCAGGTCAAGTTTAATATGGACGATTATTACTATAAAATCATAGGAGTAAGAGAGGATTGGTCAGTGAGAGAAAGAGAACACTGGATAATGCAGTAACAGTAGACACTCAGAGGAGCGTCTGTACTCAAGGCTAGCACAGAGCACACCCTTGTGGAAGTAGCCTCCCATGTCCAACTGGAGCTCTAAATTGCATTGAAGAGAGTACAGCTGGATGGCAGAAAAAGCCAGTGAGGTGCCTGAGCATCTTCACTCTGGAATATCAGAAGTATGCATGCTTAACATTGTGCCAGTTGCCAAAGGAGAAAGATTACAGAGTCCAGTCTCATACTGAGAACAGGAGCAACAGAGTAAATTGAGAGTTGCAAGATGCTAACTTGATGATTGACACAGTCAGTTATAAGTTGTTTCTTTAGAGAAATGAGACTCTTGAGGTATCGCGTTTCTATAATGCTCATCAGTTCTCAAGTATAATTTCTTTTTTATTTGAATTAGAAACAAGATTGTTTTACATGTCAATCCCAGTTCCCACTCCCTCTCCTCCTCCCCTCCAACCCCCGAACTAAAACCCTACCTATCACATATACTTTCTGCTCCCCAGGTAGGCCTTCCATAGCGGGGTCATCAGAGTCTATCATATCTATTGGGATAGGGCCTAGGCTCAACCCCGTGTGAATTGGCTCAGGTACAATCCCTGTATGTAGATTGGGCTGCAAAAGTCCACACCTATGCTAGGGATAAGTACTGAACTACTACAGGAGGTCCTGTAGATTTCCAAGGTCTCCTCACTGAAACCCACGTTCCTGGGGTCTGGATCAGTCCCATGCTGGTATCCCAGCTGTCAGTCTGGGGACCATCAAGTATAATTTCTAATCAACTACAAATTTGAATAGAGATGGAAGAAGAGATGAAGGAAAAACCATCCCTTCCAACCAAGGGCCCACACTGGCTGGGACCCTTGTCTGTGCCTCAGATCTACTATTGGGATCACAAAGTGTGATTTTCAGTTCCCAGATGAAGAAGCTGAGTTTTAGGGTTGAGTAACTTCACCAAGGTCTCTCATCAGGCAGTAGAGGCAGCACTCCAACCCAGCTCTGTTTGATTTCACATTTACATTTTATCTAATACTTGTCTAATACATTTCAGTGTTTTCTCTTCATGAGTTCACACGAGAACTCAATTCAGTTTCTGTGCTCAGTATAACTATGATGGTGTGGGGAATGTTCAGAGAGACAGAGAAGATGAGGACGATGGATTACTATGCACAGACTAGCACAGACTAGATATCAGACTGTGAGAAGCTCATCCTTGGTCTCATCTTCATACTGATTGTCTCTGAA